TTTAAAACTTTTTTATTATTAATAAATTTATATAAATTATTAAATTATCGTTGTTAAAAATAAATGATTCACAAGTTTTACTTAAATATTCATAATTTTTTTTATATTCCAAACAATGCAATAATAAATCATAATTTTGTATATTATATTTTTTAGTTATTGTTGCATTGTTGCGAACATAAAAAAAATTATAAATATTTAAATAAAACTTGTAAATTATTTATTTTCAACAACGATAATTTAGTAATTTATATTAATTTATTAATGATATAAAAATTTTTAAAGACTTTAGGAGAATTATAATATTTTAAAAGATTAAATTATCATTTTTATATTTTAAAAAAATTTTATTATTATTTTTTTAAATAATAATACATGTACTTCCAATAACATTACACAAACAAGGACGAACCACACCCATTATGGTGGGAGCCTGGTGGGCCATACTTATTTTTAAAAAAGCTCAGGTTAATTTAAAAGTTTTTTTTTATTTTTTTTGTATTTTTTTTTTGTCATTTGAAAAATTTCTCACTCCCTCTCAATTTTAAATACTCACGTTCTAATTATTGAAGTGTTTGGATTATTGGAAGACTACTCAAAACCAATGAAATCCAATATTTCTTTATGGATGGTCATGATAATTAGACATTTAGTGATATTTTAGAATATTTACACAATTTTTTATTTTTATTCATACTTTAAATGTGAAATTTATACTTCATACTTTTTTTGAATATTTCAAAATTAAGTTGAATTTTATAAAAAAATAAAAAATATGGGCTTTTATGGTTATTCCCTAAGCCTTAATAATTGGGGTTGATCTTTGAAAAAGAGTATATTTTGGAATAATATCTATCCATATATTTTTTTTTAATAAGATAAAGAGTAGATTCTGCCAATGGTAAAAATTATCTTCTTTAAGGTATAGAAGGTAAATAGCAGGCATCTTCCACTTAAATTGCTACATATATAAGGGTTAATATTTGAACCCCTAATCACTTGTTCAATGACAAAAGTTATTATCACTTGCATTATCCTTATATATTTTAATAAGGAAAAACTAATACGCAAGTCTTTAAGGTTTCATATGATTTTTTAATCGAGTCCTTCTTTTTTTTTTTTTTTCCCTTTTCATTGGATCCTTATTGAGGTTGCTCCTTATACTCACAATCTATTAATTAGGGCCGACATGGATGGTAAAAATATAAACAATAACAAAACAAAAACAAATGTTTGAGGCGTGGATCTGGAAATGAAAGGACAATGAAGGCCAAATTTGTGCCGCATCTGTGAACTTTCAAAGCATGAAAATGACAACTGAATCAATAGAAATTTGCAACCATCATAAATCTAGTTGATTTCTTTCTCGCCTGGAACTAATCCAGTGAAGCATCATATCTCTCGTGCCGGTGATCTGATTGAGTGACAGAATCAAGACGACGAAGTTCTGCGCATTGGCAAAGGCGATATAGAAAGTGATAGCAATATCAAGCAGCCAAGGAGTTGAAAATGGATCGGCAAAGGCTTGTGTGACAGCTACTGCAGGTGGCAATTATAGCCTGTAATTCAAGTCAATTTGAACTCATCTGAAAAAAATTAAAGTTAAATTTAATTATATGAGTTTTTTTAAAAGGGTATGATACTTTAAATTTGATCTGAATAAGCTCAAGTTCTGAAATTTTTAGTTCTATATATATATAGAATTAGTAATTTTGACTAAATCTGATGGGTTAGCTCGAAACTTGTCAAAAAATGTTAGGACTGGATTAGATTATATGATTTATTTTAAAATGTATGATACTTTAAGTTTAATTAGAATAAACTTGACTTAAATTGAGTTCGATTTAAATAAGTTTAACCCTCTTGAATTACTAACTCTGATCGCAACTAGGGCAGGAGTTTGCCAGATTTCCACCAGCACTGTCTTGCCGTTGGAGCTATTGCTCAGCCTTTCTCGTAGTCAAAATCACGTTCTTGTTTTTGAATCTGCTATTGTTTGCTCAAATCACGTTACTGGGGTTCAATTTATTTTAAATTTAGCAAATATGATGGGAGGAAGAAGAAGAATAGAGTTTATTTTTAATTTAATTTTGTTTGTTTACTAATTTTTGCATAGTCTATGTAGCAAGAGTAAAACATGTGAACACACAGTCAAAGCTATATTATCGCCACCTCGCCAAATGCTAACACTGTTAGTTTGCAAATTAACATTTCATTGGCCAAAAGGGATCAATTGTAATAACTGAAGGAATTGTAAGGATCCAATAAAATAAAAAAAAATAAAAAATTGCAAGGACCCACTTAAAAGTTAGGTAAAAGTGTAATGACTGTTGAATTAATTTTTCATTTTAATAATGGAAAAATTATCAACTGGAATCGCATTCTGGAGAATTCAAGTAGCTTTTGTGGGTCCAATGGTATCTCTGAGAAAACGACTGCCTCCCATTTCATTTCGGCTGAAATGTTCATGTCATTGGCCACATTGAATATCACATCATTTAATAATTAATATGTTGGTTCGCATAAATAAATCATCTTTAATTGTTCATCAAATTCAAATACAATTATATATATGTATGTATGTATATTAATTAGTCTTATACCCTTACCTTCAATAAGATTATAACTTGTATGATGTTTTTTATCATAAAAAATAGATACAATTAGAGTGAAGTAGACGCATTGACAAGAAACTGGAGATGAATCTACCTTCGTAATTTATAGTACATACAATTTATTCTAAATTATTAATGATGATATTTTCATATTTATATTTTGTTTCTAGATCATTCCTGAGTGGCGACACCATTTTTTCTCCTGAAGGCTCGTGGATTGTTTATTAAAACTTATAAACTATAATTAGACTGAGTTTATTACCATTTGAAGAAACATAAATTAAGGCTCAACGCATGCCTCATGTCATGCCTCTGTGTTCTCTCTGAGCCATGTCACTTTCCAACCTTCTTGCTGAGCGATGATTTTTTTTTTTATACTGAGCAATAATTTTTCGCCACTCAATAATAGAGACAACAACATTATTATTATTATTATTATTATTATTATTATTATTATTATTATATTAACAGTGGCAGCAGCATCGTAGCCACATTTTACTCTTGAAAGATATTCTATACTCCATCCTAATATTCATATGGTTGTATATATTTGATTGTATTAAAAAAAATATTACTTCCCCCATTAAAAAATATAAAATATTTTTTATATTTGAAAGTAAAATTATTCTGAAATTTCTAACATGGCATCCAACAAGATGATTCAATGTGAGAAGTCTAAAGTAATCTTGCTTGTCATTTTTCAACATCATACTTGTTATTTTTCACACTTATATATGTATATATATATATATATATATTTGTCCATCGAGAAGTCAAATATGATTAAAAATGTGCTATATTTATTAAACTGTTATTGTTACAAGTGAGAGTATTGTTTTCGTGAATATTTATATGGATAATGACAAGTACTACCTCTTGCCTTATTTATAGAATAGAGAAAAAAAAATTTTGATCCTATTTATAAATCACGTCATTAAATTTTTATTATAAATTTTTTATCCTTTATTGAATATTAAAGAGAGAAAATATGTCATTGAAATGTATATATTTAATAGAAATAAAGTTGAAAATTTATTAAATTTTAAAATAAAATTTTAATTTTTTTAATATTAATAAAATATGTTAAAAATAATTTATAAATAAAATTAGGAGGATAGTAATCACAATTTAACAAACTTGAGTGCCAAAGATAACAAACATGATATTAAAAAATGACAAGCAAGACTAATTTCCACTTCTGACATTTAATCTTCTAGTCTGATGTCATATCAGAAATTCAAGAACAATTTCAAAATTCCTCGGTCCTTTTTCGTAATTAAAACTCTTCATGGATCCTCCGTTTCCGTTGCTTGTATTACTTGTATTGTATGAGAATGATCTAGGTGACCGACTACATCGGATAATAATTTAATTTAATTTAACTCCTTCTATTTTACATTATAAAAAATTTTTAAAAATTATTATTTCAAAATATAAATAATTTAATAAAAATAAAAATTTATTAATGATATTTTTAATATTATTTTTTAAATGAAGAGAGAATTAAAATAATATTGCAGCATACTCTTTCCACTCCAAAATATAAATAATTTTTTTAAAAAAATTTGTAAAATTTCACATTCTTATAAAAATAAATACTCCATTCTTTAAAAATGTAAAACATTTTTAATTGAATCTCACCCCCAATAAAGTATTTACCTACTTTTTTAACTAATCTTATCTTTTTCATATTTATCATTATTAAACACCCGATAATAAATATAAAGTAGGGTATTTTTAGAAAAAAAAACTATGATTATACTTTAAAATATTAAAAATGTCTTATATTTTTAAGCATCCAACTTCTCCAAAAAATACTTTACATTTTTAAATGGAGAGAATATTTCTTTTTTTGCCTAGTCTCAATTATCAATGTATTTCATGATGAGTTATAAATAAATTTATATGAGGATTTAGGTTAATAAAAATAATGGATGAAATGAGAAATTTTTTTACATATACTAAGTTACTTATATTTTAAAATAAAATTAGTTAAAAAAATACTTATATTTTAGATTGAAAAGAGAGTAGTGATTAAATGTACGGAAATATTTTTAAATTTTTATTTTAAAAATAATTTTATAAAATGTCATTATTATATTTTAATAGCATGCATAATTTTATTTTAAATTATCTTATAATTTAAGAGATGGAGTGTCGTGTTGTGTATCAAATAATTAAATATCAAAAATTATATAAAATATGAAAAAATTTAAAAAGAAAAAGAGAGAGGTGAATATTCTGGTCCCAGGGATGTGGTGGAAAAGCGGCACTTGTATCAGTGATTCAGTGGAGTCACGTGCGGGACCCATCAGGCAGACGGTCGTGCATGTGACGGCTCAATCGATGAAGAGGAAGCCGCCACTATCAGCTATCGGCCTATCAGCACCACCACAAGCACAAAAGCTCAACGTGTAGTTGTAGCCTGCCGCGGTTGAGAACTTGACATTGAGAAGCCGTAGCACAACAAATCATCTCCTGCTCTGCCCCTCTCTGCTCCTCCTTCTTCAACCCGCCATGTCTTCCCCCATTACCAAATGCTTCAAATCTCGTGAACCCACCTATTGCTCTTCGTCGATTTTGATCCCTCCGTGCCTCTTCTTCTTCTCCTTCTGTTTCTTATCCTCGGCCTCCTCTTCTGCTTTTGTCTTTTCTGGTAATGTTTACTTCCGTTCTGTTTTATCTTGCAACTTGCCGTATCCTGACGTTGTAATCTCTGAAAAGAAACGAGTTCATCTTTTGATTATTTTACTGCGGCTATTTATTTCTCTTGTCTACCTGTGTGTGTTTTGGGTCCAAGTCAAGAGTTCCGCTTGCCCGTGTTTCTGACTTGTTCGTAAGCGTTGAACCGATTGATTTGTTTTATCAGGATCATTGCTTTTGATATTATTAAGTTGCTTTTGAACTTTCTCAAGATTAAGTCTCATTTCGGTGGTGATTCTAAGGATGCACTGTCTCACGTGGTGGTGATTACGTTTATAATTTTATTTTTTGAATACTTTTTGAGTAATCCAATCCAGGAGGATTTCCATTGACTTAGAACTTGTCAGCGCTTATTATTGACAATGATGAGTGATAGTTTAATACATTAAGGTTGACGTCTATGTTTAAATCATTCTTAAATGGATCGAGATGTTCATAGCAGGGTATTGGGTACTTTATGTGCTGGCCAGATTTCTGTTTGCAAAAAGAAAAAGAAAATGATGAATATTCTGCTATTGACAACAGGGATTCTTTTGGTGATTTATGATAAGAACCCCCCTATTTAAGAAAATGATCTAAAAAGAAAAGAAAATGAGAATTTCTTGTTGATGGATTGGCCATGACTAGATGGACGTGCTAAAGAAGTTGTTTGCAATGATTAGGTAATGGAACTGAAGATTTAGAAAACAGAAGTGATTTATTCCCTCAAATTCTAAGAGATGAGGCAGTGGCAAGACTTCATGAACTTGGAAAGGTATCTAAGCTAAACTCATCCGCTATTACTGCTAGTCACACTGGGACATGTGAATTTTGTGTTACCAGATATATGCTGAAAAAAAAATCTTCCATTTTTGAAGCTTAGTATTTTCAGCAATGTTCTTTTTTTTTTTTCCAATTTAAAAAAAAATGTTACCCCTATCAAAGTTTTGGCAATAATGTGAATCACAACAAATGTATAAGTTATTTTATTTTATTTTTTTGGCGCTGACTATCAGTTCTCTGCTAAAAGTATAATATGTGAATTAAGCATATGATAAATCTTCGCACTACAGTATTGACAGCTTAGAGAAAGATTCTCCACATATTATAATTATATTAAAGAATCTAATATAAAACACTTAAGGATTGAGAATGTGTTTTTTTTTTTATAAAAAAAAAAAAAAAACTAGCAGTTTTGGTATTTCTTCAAATAACCTCTACTTAGAGGTTAATCCGTTCCAGTGGCTGGTGTACCATAAGATTGACTGTATTGATATGTTGCTCCCGGTCTGGATGAACAGGTGAGTGATGGAAGTGGCCATTTGGAGAGGACATTTTTTAGTCCGGCATCCATGAGAGCAATAAATCTTATTCAAACATGGATGGAGGATGCTGGCTTGAGAACGTTAGCTTTTTGACTTTTTCATCTCTGAACATTTGATTCTTTGAAAGTTTGGCTGATGATTATGCTTATTTCCAGGTGGGTAGACGAAATGGGGAATGTACATGGCCGAGTGGAGGGTGCAAATGCAGACGCCGAGGCTTTATTGATTGGTTCTCACTTGGTGATGCATTTATGTCCCCAAAATTTATTTTATGTAGCCTTAACAATTGATGAAACTTTTTTTTTTTCAATATTAATGGTTTCTTGTTCTTTTGAATAGGATACTGTAGTTGATGCTGGGATGTTCGATGGATCACTTGGAATAATATCTGCAGTATCTGCATTAAAGGCTATGCATATGACTGGAAAACTTGGACAGCTAAGGCGCCCTGTCGAGGTTAGCCTTGTAACTTCTTAGTTATAATCTTTTTATGAGTAAGTTATGATATTCAAAGGTTAAATTGAAACGTCTTTGTAGTGCATCCTATCTATGTTCCTTTTCAATTACCAAAAATGCAAAACTAATTTGTGTTCATTAATAATGATATGCCCCAAGAAATCATTTCAAAAGAGGTAAGCGAAAACACTGGACATGTTAGAAGCTAGGCTTCTCTTTTGTTGATGTCATCTTAATTCCTTTCCTTAAGTGAATCCTGCAGGTGATTGCTTTTAGTGATGAAGAAGGAGTGAGGTTTCAAACTACTTTCTTGGGCAGTGGTGCTATAGCCGGAATTTTACCAGCAACAGCTTTAAAGACAACTGACAAGAGGTTTCACCTAGTGACTTCCTGGTTATGTCTTCAATGAAATTTCTTATATTAAACCTATCTATCTATATATCCTTTACAGGGGCATGGCATTGGAAGATGTTCTTAAGGAGAACTCTTTAGAAGTCACAGAGGAGAGTCTTTCAAAGCTCAAGTATGACCCAACATCTGTTTGGGGATATGTTGAGGTATAGCAGTCATTTGCTTTCTTCAACTATCCAGCCCTTTTCCTCTCTAGTTGAAAATTTATGTGCACATTTTTCCCCACGCTACAGGTTCACATTGAGCAAGGTCCTGTGCTAGAACGGTTTGGTTATCCCCTCGGTGTGGTTAAAGGCATAGCTGGCCAGACACGATTGAAGGTGAACTTAAATATTTCAGCCTGAACTTTGTCTAAATGGCTCTTGGTAGAAAACGATAATGTAAAACACATGCTTCTGATTTATTATTTGAATATAAAAGTGTCACCAAAAGGAAATAAGATAGAGGCATTATCAGAAAAAATGGGCTTTACTTCAAAAGGACTAATTTAACTTCTAGTATAAATTTAAACGGCCGTGCAACACGAAAATTTCATAAATCAGATATGAAATAGGAACTGTCTTGTCACCACCCTGCATTTTATTAGGGGATAAAGAAGAGTTCTTAGAAAATTCTCACAAAAACTGTACCAAAATGATACCACAAGCTAAATGAGTTGAACCAGAATTGAGATTTGATTTTGGTAAACTGGGCATTTGGGGTCTTTAACTGTTTTATATTTAGCATATTAAGGAGTGCTGCAAATTTGGCTTCCATGCTGGATGCTTTATGCTCATTGTTTAATCTGTGCCGTTCAGATTAAAATTAAACAGTTTAGGTTTTATTTTATTCTAAATATTCTAATATTTTTTATTTTAACAGTTGCATAATGCAAAATAATCTTCTAACTACTGATTTTTGTTTAAAAAAGAAGTTTTGATTTAAAAATTTTTAAAACTAGTTGGTTCAAATCAAATCTAAATGATTCAGATATCATCTTAAGGATGAGTAGATCAGTAGAGTACCGAATTCGGATGCTGAGAGAGCCTAGCAGGGCCATAACATGTCAACCCCTCACACGGATCATTAGCTCTGTTCTGTTTGTTGTATTAATAACCTGCTAAGTTTCATTCAATGGCCTGCCATATACATATACATGTATTTCTTTTCAATCTCTTGTCAAAATATATCGACAAAGGAAACAGTTTGGCAGAAAATTAACTGAGTTTTAGTCAACTGGGTCTATTTAGTTTTACTACTGAAAAAATAAATCTACATTGGAATAAACCCAAAGTGCATCCTACAACTGCCCACACATTCGTAAGTTCTGATGCATTAGTTCCTTTCCTTTGGTGTGCTACTTTCCTATACAATTAATGTATCCAACAAGATATAATAGCATGGTTAGCCAACTTTTCTTGCAAACAAGGCTTGGGTTTCTTCAAGCATGTGAAAGACAAGATGCTAACTTCTCGCCAAATAAAATTTTGTGATGTGATGCATCTACATCAAAATTCTTCACCATCAATGCTTGTGAAAACATCTTCATTAGTGTGATTCTCCTCATTCTGATCTTAATTTGCTTGAAAATAATCATCTACGCAGGTTACAGTGAGAGGTTCACAAGGTCATGCTGGAACAGTCCCAATGTCTATGCGCCAAGACCCAATGACTGCTGCAGCTGAATTGATTCTAACTCTAGAAAGCCTCTGTAAAAATCCTGAGGAGTACCTTTCTGATGGTGGTCAATGTGGAGATGATACGGTGAAATCACTTTCAAGTTCTCTTGTCTGTACAGTGGGTGAAATATCAACATGGCCAAGTGCCAGTAATGTCATTCCAGGCCAGGCAAGAGCTATATCTCTCAAACGCTGCTGACCTGAAGAAATCCAAGTGGGAATGCCTTATATTCCTCCTTATAGCCATAGTTAATAACTTTGATGACAATATACCAAATTGTTTCAGGTTACATATACTGTGGACATACGGGCAATGGATGATACTGGGCGTGAGGCTGTTATGTACGAACTATCTAGACGCATGTATCAGATATGTGACAAGCGTTCAGTTTCCTGTAACATCGAGCGTAAGGTACGGTACAGGCGATCATTTGTTTGTTGACTAGCATTACCATCTATCAAGGACTCCTTCAATTCTATAGTCATAAATACCTTTATTATAATCTCCAATGCTTCTTAGGTAAAGTCCTTTGGGTTTGACGTCTGACGTACGCAAGAATCATAAACCTTTCATATCTTGTTTTGAAAAGAATGACAAAAGATTGAATTGCTAATCTAGCTATGCAGACTTGATATCATGTCAGATTATTTATACATAAAGGCTTAAACTCTCAAGTGAAAAGTGAAAACCTTGCTATGGTCTCTAAGGAAGTATGCTCAATGACTTTGCTGTTGTGACCACAGCATGATGCAGGTGCTGTGGCTTGTGATGCTGAACTGAGCTCACAGCTTAAATCTGCAGCCTACTCAGCATTTAAGAGGATGGAGGGGGACATTCAGGGTGAGGTGCCAGTCCTAATGAGTGGAGCAGGGCATGATGCAATGGCCATGTCTCATTTAGCCAAGGTAACATTTATATCCTCTCTTTGCAAGTTGATATGTAATTTGCCCAGCAAGATGGGAAAATGAGTGAGAATTTGAACAGGTTGGAATGCTCTTTGTGAGATGCCGTGGAGGCATAAGTCACTCTCCAGAGGAACATGTGCTGGACAATGATGTTTGGGCAGCCAGTTTAGCAATCTTGTCATTTCTGGAAACCTTATAATAAATTGTAAAAGAGTAATAATGTAGATGTAACATGTAATTATTGGTTAATCTATTGAGTTTGCATTCAAGATGCTACTGTTCCTTTTGAAGGTTCTGTCTCCTTGCAGTTGTGTAAATGAAATGGGTTATTCTGTTATCTCTAGTGGGCTCCAAATTTGCCACTTTTTCCATGCAGATAAAAGGAAATAGGAACAGCTTGAGTGAAAGATCTTACAAATGTTATATAACTAGACGGAAATTAGTTAATACATGCACTAATTGACCTTGAACATTCTTCTTTTGATAATGACACCAGAATCACTTCCTGATTACACATAATATACTGATTTTTTTTTTTTGGTCAAACATGATATATTGAGTTTCAAATGGGTTTCTTTGTTATAAGGAATGAAATAAAAAAATAATTTAAAGAAGAAAAATTTCTGGCACTCTATTTAAAAAAATGAAAATGATCGAATCAAATGTTACACAAACATGACAAAACATTACATAAAAGAATTGAGAGAATGAGAATTCAATTCCCTTATACCAAATGGAGCTCGAGTGTGTCATTTTAGAAATCAGAAAAATCTTTGCTGGTGTGAAATTGAGATTCAAGATATTCAGAATAACCAAGTAAGTCTGAGTCTGTGTTTTACATCAAATAAGCAACTGATGGCCCTTCTCTGAGAAATGCATTATGTCCTCTTCACATTGATTAAAGATTTACTTAAAATAGTTGTTCATAAGTTCTCGAGGAAATGAGCAAAACTAGGGTACTTTGGCTCCCACCCTGTTTCATTGCGAGTTTTGGAGTTGTCTAATCTTTTACCTAGAGGATCGTTAGTTCCTGAAATGGAATGTTAAACACCAATCAGAATGAAAAATATTGATATGTTACAGTTTTTATTCTAGAAAGTGGTGACAACCACTTGAAGAACTTCACTGAGAAAACAAAGTAGTTAAACTTAAGTTTGAGACATGAATTTCACAACTAAACAAGAAACTGACTGACCAGTGAATTTATCAAATGTTTTATTGAACTTCCCACTTCTATTAATCAGGTCCATCATGTCTTGCCTGCAAACATAAAGAAAACAGGATAAAACGAGCATTTAAATAGAAATTCACCAGAGATATGAAAGTAACAGGAATGAGAATTGCAAAGCTACAGAGATGGGCATATAACCTAGATAAAGGATGATTGTCACAACCCAAGAAAATCTTTCCGCGAATTTTTTTCTTCAAGATTGCAACTGAGAGGGAAGCTGCATCCTGGAGTGGAAGAGTGTCCAAATGAGCATCATCTTTAACTCCATCAAGATAACCATTACTGAATGACTACAAATATGTCGACGAATTATCAAAGAAAATATCAAAGCAGCTTCATGGCATGAAATACAAATCTGAAGAAGAATTGGGAAAATCAGACCATTGCTCATAAAATACAGAAAAGTAAATAGAGATAAAAAGAAACTTTGACCTCATAATGTATGAGATTCAGGATGTGGTCAGGACGACTATCTACAACACCCTTTTCTAACCAGTAACTGTGTGCACCTCTATCTGCTTTGTGAAATATGTCAAGGTTGGCTAGAGACACAATCATAACATCCATAAGAACTCAGATTAAAGAATTCTTGTAATGCTAATATCTTGAATTCCATAAAGGATATATAAAGCCCCGCCAGTCTTAGAACGCAACCACCAGACTCCAGCACCACATTTTCAGCATTTAGAAGAATATCTGTTCTGGGGCTCTTCCCGATTGGCACAGATGGAGTATCCTACAATGAAGGTATATAAAATCCTATGTAAAGGACTATCAGAAAACGTCCAAGTATATTTGTGCAAATCAAAGTCACAATAAATTTTGGAAAGAGAAGCAGAAGCCAATTTCTTAAAGTTGCCAAGAACAGTCCCCGTGATTAAAATTAAAAAAAAAAAAAAGGAAAAAAGGGTGGTAGACGGAAAGAGAAAAATACTGATATTTGGATGTATCACCTACCTCATCACATGGTCCATTATCATTACGATCATATGGCGCAGAACTTGAGGTAAAAAGGAAAGAACCTTCACCATTCCAGCTTAATGCAGCTTGCCTGATCGAACAACAATCCATATCAATGTAAGAGTTCAAATTATGATAGTTACAATAATATTGCGCCTTTTCCTGTTGCCCAGTAATACTCATTTCATTTTAGGCTGCTAATAACCAAATTGTGTAGATGAAGATGACCTGGACAATCCTAGTTGATCTGGACAGCCAATTTGGTTTATTACAGGAATATGATAAAACTAAGGAAAACTTTCAAATTATAGATATAAAAATCGATGCACTTAATAGACCCCTAAAGAAGATCATGGTTAAGAACATAACCAGAAAGTCAATTATCCACTCTTTCTCTTTGACACCCAAGTAAGTCAACAGTGCAATGTTACAAAGATGATTATGAATATTCTCTGACTAGTCATATCATCACTTTAAAATATGATCATTTTTTCAACAAAATAAAATGAACTGCATGGAAGGTAAACAAATTTTGAACAGGGAATACAGATTCACAAGAAATTAAGTGCCAAAATCATCAAGAAAGGAAAATTCATTAGGGAAAGTTCAGAGCATTTTGCGCAAGCATGTATCATGCATGAATTATAACTTTCATTTCATGTTCATTGTGCTCATGGAGCACAAATCAGCATAATATATATATATATATATATATATTACATTTTCAGGTGATCATAAAAAAATAGTCTGACCATCATATAAGAACGTTCATATTCAAAATACATATTAATTACTTAAATTACGTACACAACAATATTCATTGTACATATAAACTAATATCAAAATCATAAATTAATGCAAGTACAACTTCCTTTAGCTGTAGGCTTGCAGTAGACTGCTTAGAAAGTGAAGTAGAATACGTAAGTTATAACCAATAGAAGGGAAAAGGTCCTCAACAAAACAAGCTAACCAAATTCAAGCCTTAAACTTGCTGGAGTAATTAACATTTGAACACATAATTGGGACAGAATCATAACATTTCCATAAAATCATGAAATGACCTCTGCATCTCACCTGATGTTTCCAGAATAGTCAAAAGTCCGGGAAGGTGGGGCACAATAAATAACATAGGGAAACTTGTGAGTAGATTCTGTCCATTTCAGAGATGGATTGATACACATTTGAACTAATTCATCATGATGATCAGTGGTCTTTGTCTGCCCATAAACCTGGCAACCTGGACTTTCCTGCATGCATGCACATATATTAAGAGTGCCAAAAAGTTGCATTGTATCACTTCACCTTGCCATAAATATGAAGAAAGGTTCCGTAATAAAAGAAGTGCCAATACTGACACAAACACGTGCACATGATGCAATATGAATAGAGCAAACATGACAAACCTGTAGTACGCAAGTGCAATCATTATCATTATATATACAAAAGTATAACAGAAAACATTGTTACTTTACTGTTTATTGATTATTGACAAGGCTGTTTATTTATTTTTCTGAATTCCCGTGCAATGCACTGGAATTGAAGCTAGTTTAACCATAAAATGGGGTGCAAGTGCATTTTGAGTCTTTGACACAATACTACAATGCTTTTTATGGGCGCTTCATAGTTCATAAATCATAGTCATATCTTGATGTTTCACATCTGTCCTCTTGCTATTGTTATCATCACAGTAACTCAGAGCACAAAGAACTATCTGCATGAAGGAATCATAATTGAAAAACACTCAAGAAATATGCTATCGTTATGAAACCGCCATGGAGAAACGCTAGAGACACAGAGATACGAAACAGTCGCACAGTACCTCCCGCCATTTTTCTGCTACCAAACGACCCAGAACACCAGGACCTACAATGAGTAGGTCATGTTGGCCAATTGCTCTAGGAGATGAAGGCTCCGATTCTTCGATGGGAGCATCTTCTGATACCTGCAAAGGGGTCGCCCTGGGTAACGATGTTGCGGACTTTAATCTGATTCCCGAATTCGAACTTGTGGAGGTGGAGAAGAGCAAATTTGGGGATTTAGACCACATGTAACAGGCATTGTTAGAGAGGTTAGAGAAATGTCGAGAAGGATTTCGAGGTCCAAAAACAGCTATTGTAGTGAAACACGAAGTGCTTCCCATCATAAGGGTTTGATTTTTGAAGAAAAGGGCAGTCTTTTTGAGCCTTTTTGATTCAAGTGCTGAGAATATTTATGTGAAATTAACTTCACAAAATTTCAGCAGTGCCAGTCATCCTCAAGAGCCAAGACCAAGCAAGAGCCAATAGGAAGAAGATACGGCGAAATTGAAAAAAATTGTCTCAGTGCAATGGTGTTGTAATGTTCTTTTTTCTTTTTTTTCTTAAAAAAGAAAATTATACCATGTCAACTTGTCAAGGGTGTTTGAAGGTTCATTCCATTTATATTTATTTTAGACTGAATTGTTTTTAAAATGAATTGACTTGATTATTAATTCAGTAAAATGAAGAATTTATTTTGTTTTAGATCTCGGTACAAAACCTATGTCAGAGATTCATTTATAAGGATAAGAACCTGACATTGTCACTATCAGTTACGCTATGTTACTGCTATGACCATGATGTATGAGAAAGGAGGCTTGTTTAGGTAGGTTTTAAACATGTTTCGCCTCAAGTTCTTTTGACAAGTAATTTACATATTTATGATTTATGATTTCTACAATCCCATTTTTACAGTTTTTGAATGTCATGCTGTGTTTCCATGTACTCCTGCATACCCGGAAACCACTTTTGAAAATTATATATCAAACATGAAAAATTTAATGTGACTACAAATTTATCAATGTCAAGGACCACTAAATTTAGAAGTATGAGTTGTATGAGAGAAGGCCTATGAATAGTTTTGTTTCGATACCATAAAAAAAGAAAGAAGTTCTATTATGGTATATTAAAATTGGAATTTTTGCACACATAATTTGATGATTTTGAATTCATGTCATGTATGTGATGTGTTTGATGCACGGATTTGAGTGTGACTTTGGTATATATTCTGGCCTCGAAGGTTTTGAGAGACTAAACCAAAAAAATTCGAGAGAGCTGGGAATATTGTATCCAGAAGAAGCTTTACATATTGGTGATAGTTTGTGCAAAGACTGCAAGCCGGTCAAGAGCATAGGTTGCTTGTACTGTTACTTGGATAGGTTCAAGTCACATGATGCTCAGAAATGGAGGCAATTTGTGAATGGCCTTTACGTAATGGCATGTGAATTGTTTTATAAGTGGAAGGTGATGGTTTCGATTCCATTTATATCATTTCTTGAGGTTATTAGAAGAGAAGCCATCATTTTGGTGCGAAGAAAAGGGAGAAGTAATTTTCCCTTCCATAACGAAGAGTTGAGAATTCCTGTCGTTTTGACCCGACTTGGAATTAGACCCAAAAGTAAATGAGAGTTTTTCTTTCACATCCATTTTCGTCTGTTCAATATTTAGTTTCTCCTACCTGCTCATCCCTGTTTCTCCTCTTTGGTTATGCTTACGCTGTGTTTTCTTTCGATGAGGATCTAACAAGTGAATGTGTGCACTAGGCAGTAAAGATTATGCAATTGATTGTTCTTGTTGGTTCTGAAGTTTGGACCCGATAGTGTGGACAATTGAGCATAGTTCGCCACGCAGAGACGCGCAGAAAAAACTACTCTCAGAGAATCCGGACACGAGTCTCAGAGTTAGAGTTGCCGCGCTCCTCTGAAGAGGGTCCCCAGAGGTGGCGCATATGGAGGAGAGGCAACACACTTTGCAAAATCCACTTCTCCAAGCTAGGCAAAGGCCTTATAAATATCTCAGCTTAAAGAATGTTGTTACAAGCACCAATATTAATGGCGAATCCGCATGTGAGAGGTAGGTTGGGAGCATAAAAAAGAAGCCACTTTATGTCCGAGGAAGAACCTTCACTGAGATGCATCAAAGACGCTATTTTTTATGCCACGAAAATTTTCACATACTGCTCTTTTCTTGCACATTAAGTGTTCGATGAAATTCCCATTCAGCTTTAACTGTTCTTTTGTTTAATGGGGAATGTTGGAGTTTTACTTTCTAGCACTGTTATTTGCTGTGCCTGCGAGTAAAATAATCTTCTTTGGTCGTTAGGAATACGTTTTTTGTGATATGGCGCTGTGGTTGTACCAGTCTCTCGTGTGAATTTCTCATGAGATGACTGTCAATTAATGTTTGAACTTTGATCCAGTAAAATCACGGAGGATGAGAACAAAGCAGAATTTAGGAATTTTCTTAAAATTCTTCCCCCTGTGGAGTTTGCCTGCGTCTATGGCTCATCCCTTCATCCAAACAACCAAGACAAGGTTTCTCTTTTGACTAGAACTCCCTAGTTTTCTTCATTATTTGTTACCAAATTTTTTTTTCTTCGAATTATTTGCTCTCAATTTTGAGAATTTTGGCTTCTTAGTCAACCATGACAGACTATATTCTTGGTGTATCAGATCCCTACCAGTGGCATTCTGAGGTAAAATATAATACGTTGTCTTATCTTATGCACTTATTTTACTGCTATGTGCACCTTATAGAGTTGGCTTTTTCTCTCTCTGTCTTTCTTTTTCTCCATTGTGCAATGGCACTACAAAGAACCTGAAATTGAACAGAAATCACTATGCGTCGTGGATGGTGCACCTTGGTGGCGCGAGACTGGTATTCCTCTCTCAGTTCTTGTATATTTGAATTGATTATGTTAACCCACTTATCTGATGCTAAATCTTGATATAATATATGAGGTTACCGAAGTTGCGGATAAAATTGGTGTGGGAGTTCATTTCAACCCTTTTGTTAGTTGGAATAGAAAGGTATTTACAGCTTGAAGACTCAATGGTGTGTGAATAAACTAAATGCTCATAATCACATATTCAATAGCTTATAATTGCCAATTGTACATATTGGCATGTTTTTAAATTGCATCACGTGAGTATTTATTTTCTCAGGCTCCTCTAAATTATGATTCATGCCATTTGTTCCCTAATTTATCAGCAAATGTACACAGATGTTCAAATACGGGGTTGTTCAAATGCGTGACTTACTTAAAGATGTACTCTGTTGGGAGAGGTTTTACTTGAGCGGTCGTTTACAAAAACCAGTATGTATCTTGCTTTTTCCACTTTGGATAAGCAGCTTCACATATTACAATTGTTTGACTTGGGATTACTTGTTTTGGATGTGCCTATTTACGGCCGTCTAATAAAAAAATGGATATATGTTTTCAGTGCTCTAAATTTTTTTTTTTTTGGGCAACTTTTCAGTGCTCTAATTGAAAGATAACATGCAGGTGAAGATAAACAAATAAATAGAACGGTGCTAGTTAACTGTGTCTTCATTTTAGTTCGCAGAAAAACTTATTTATTTGAAATCTTTGTTTGTTGTTCAACTCAAAGCACATGTCACATAAGTTGTAGCATTATTTTCATTGTCGTTTCTAATTTCTGGATCCAAATGTGTGTTATAATACACTTAATATCAAAGATAAGGCCTCGATAACTTCTCTCTTAAGCACATAGCAGTGATGCATATTGCTTGTTACAAAGTTCTATATTCTATAATAAATTTGTTTAGTTACAGATTTACTTAGCTGACAATCCTATCTTGTTACTTAGCTCTCATTACTTTTTGAGACTTGATTTTTTGGTCTAATTTAGCGGATTTTAGGTTCTGAGGGTACTCTTACGAGTGCTTGTTTCAATTGTTGTGCCATATCTTTCTCATTCTTTTCCATGTCCTATATTTTAATCATAATCTTAATCCATGACCTAATTCTCTGGGTGCACATTATGTGCAGATTCATATAGTGATAGATAATTTGGACATTGCAAACGCCAATTCTGTTAACCTGAGAGCTGCAATATCAGCTGCTCTTCTCTTTCTTCCTTCGGAATTCACAGAGGTTTATTTCTTTCTTATTTAACTAATTATTTTAGGGGTTAAACCTACTAAAATGATTAAAGCATATTCTTGCAGGAAGATCTGTATTCCAAGGTGTGTAGTCTCTCATATATCGGTGACCTACGTATGCTATTTGCAGAGGATAAAAATAAGGTAGACCCCAAACGCATCTTTTTTGTAAGGCATGTTTTGGAACTGTTGATGTCTTCATCATACAGACGGGCTCAATGCTCTCACCTAACGCTATACCATGAGTTGGGTGATCTGCTGAAACTCTGTGTCAATTTGGTTGTAGGTTTTAGATTACTTTGTACATATGAATGCTTTAATAAGCTGAGTTATGCCTCCATGGAATGCCAAATTTGACTATAACTTGCTGCATCAACCTGTTTCAACAAGATATTTTTTTTATGCTGTTATTATTTTCTAAATACTTCTCCTTTACTACTGCTTCACTGTTTGTCATATTCAACTTTACGAAAATTGGCATTGAGCAGGAGAAAAGGAAAGGGTTGGTGTTTTCAATGATTGTCATTGTCTACTTTACTGAGATTAATGAAATATTCCCTGCATATATCCTTTCTTGCTTTTTCTCATGGGACTGGAGGCAAATATGTAAAATTGTATGTAGCTGGTGCAACTTCTTTCCTCAAAGAAGGCAGAATATTTGTCTATTGTTCTCACCGAGATTCCTCTATTTGTCATATGATCCAGGTGAAAAAAATTGTGACGGGGCAGTTTAATCTATTCCACTCGATATATAAGCCATTTCTCGAAGAGTACGAGGCTAAGAAGTTATTGGGACTATCATCAACTTCTAATGGCCAAATAGAAGTCTTTCAGGTATTAATTCTTGGGTATTTTTCAGAGGCGGATTGAAGTTAAGAACTAACTGAGCTGAAATATGGATTTATTCTTTTCTTGTCCAACAATTTTCTTTCCTGGACAGAAGTAGAAATTTCATTACAAATAAAAAAAAAAAAAAGAGTAAAATTGTTGGATGATAAGATATCACCAAATGAGAATTAACAAAAAATTCTCCAAACAAGCCAAAAGGAGCAAAAAGCTAGAATAGCTCATCATTGTACTTAACCTGATCACGCTCTACATTTATACTAGCGACTTTCTTTAAATACACGATGCAGAATTCTGAAGGGAAGCCATTGATTCTATTGCGTCACATGTATCTGACTCTACTGTACAAAGCACAAACTAGTGAATCCCATAAACCACATATCTCCACATTATGTTATTCTCCATTTTGTAAATCAAGCCTTTGGTTATTCTAACTAAAGGTTGCTTAATGGGTAACCACTGTTGTAGTCAACTGGTCCTTGAGATTTCTTTTATTTATGTCGAACTTGTTATTTAATGCTTGCTTTATGTTGTCACGAAGAAGCAGTTCTTTCTCAGTTTCCATTTCTAAAGGAAGTAGAAGAGGAAGACAGAGGCAATCTTTTCAGATATTTAGTGCTTCTCATCTCCTTCAGGATTTCCAACCTGTCATAGATTGTCTCACATCTTTAAAGTAGAATAATCCAAGTGAACTTATTTCTTTTACTTTGTAAAACAGGATTGTAACTTATCAGCTGCTAGCTCTCTTGTCTCTTCTCTTTCTCCGGCAATCAGAAACCAGATGGGTATGAAGTTAGGAGAGAAGACAAAAATGAGTGAAACTGGTATGCCTGTATCTTGAGAAAGGATTGTTTCTGAAACATTGTGGCAGCTTCAAATATTTCCCTGCTTGAACTCACAGACAGTTGGTAGTTGATGATAGTGGAACTGTAGATCTAACTAGAGGCAGATATTAATTAAGGATAAAGATAATTAAAAACTTGTCCTATGATTTCAGGACAAATCATAAAAGACGTTGCTTTTAGCTCGAGAGAAGAGGCTGCAAAATGCTTGCAGGGTATCCTGAGAAGAAGAGTTATGATTTCAAGTGCAAGACAGGCCATTTCTGGTCTTCTGACTTCAGGTGGGATCAACGCTAGCCGGTATCTTGCAAAGAAAATGAGCAAAGCCTGGAAGTCCTGGAGATGATGACGCTAGCCAGTTGAACATCTTGAGAATGAGAGTTTCATGCTTAATCATTGAGCTAGAGAAGTTTGCAGATAGACTGGTATGGCAATAGTTTGGGAATCATTGGGGAGTATTAGGTGAAGATTTTTTTTCTATAAATCTACCATTAAGCTATTGACCTCGCAGACGAAAATTTTTCCGTTTATTGAAAAGCCTGAAATTTGAAGGTAAGGGAATATGATATTTATTATTGTTACCCAAAAACGAAAACAAATGAATAAAAACTTTGGTGATCGAGATTTTTCCCGAGATAATGATAATAATCAAATATTCTAAGTTACGAGACTCTGGTTCATTCCTTTTAAGTTGTTGTATGGAATATGGATGCCTTTATCTTAAAGCTATAGCAACAAAACATATGTTGTAATCTAGATAGAAAAGATGATGATAATTTTATAAACATTGTTTGTCTCCATAGCATAAATAAATGAGTTAAAGGGCAAATTAATTTTTAAACTATAAATTTAAGAACATCTGAGATTTTAAATGTATTTTTGTTATAATGTTTTTCTTTTAATATTTGAAAATAATGTAATGTTGTTCTTGTTATTAATAAAAGCTTAATTTGACTATTACTATTAGTTAATCAGGAAATTACAAAAAATAATTACAAAAATTGCAAAAAATGATCAAAATAATCATAGAAATTAATTGGTATTAATTTTTTTATATAATAGAGTACTTGTTTATAATTATTGAGTCTTTTTCTGTAATTATTTTAATCATTTTTTACAATTTAATATTCTTTTTTTAATAATTTTTTAATCAATTAATAATTAAAATTAATTTTTATTAATGGGATGAATAATATTATATTTTATTTAAATGTTAAAGAAAAATATTATATCAAAATTAAGTTTATGGTCTTAGATATTTTTGGATGATTGTCGTGTTATTTTTTTCCTCCTAGATTATTGACATCTTGTCTACATGCAGAAAATACTCACATTTTTTCTACATTCTCCCGATTTGAGATTCAACGTGACATGATGTCTTTGAATTGACGTCCACCAACTCTTGTGCTTTCCAAATTAAAACTTTTGTAGAAATAAATGAGATTAAAAGTGTATTTGAGAAAACAAAATAAAGTAACCATTACAAAATTCCTTGCATTTACAAATCTAAAATTATTTTTTAAGTTGGGGAAATAATCAAAAAACATTTTATGATCCACATCTTATAAAATTAGCACCAAAATTATGGAAGAAATGATTTTATTATGAAAATATTGGAACAAATTATCACTTGCATTTTAAAATTTATTACTTATGCTTCTTAAAATTGTATAATTAATAATATTTTTTATGTTAAGAAGGCTTTTTCAATTCATTAATGTTCTTGTATCAAAATATCGCTATAATATGAAGAAGATTAAGCTATAACCTTATAGAACATAATCAATAACCTTTTTATAAAAAAATATCAGCAATAATTTTTGAAAGATAAATTAATTGTAAGTTAACATTAACAAGAAAATTGACTGCGAGTTAACAATGAGTCTGCAAGCTTCAAAGAAGTTGGTTTCAAAATGAAGTTTGTGACTTTGAGTCTGCATATGAATGTCTCCCATCACTAGGGCTGTGCAGAAAAACCTCAAACTCGGTCTATTTGGTCCGATCCGGTCCGACCCGGTCTTGAAAAATTCAACCCGAACAAAAAACTGGACTGAACGGGTCAGACCAGACTAGAGACTGCTCTTTCAGACCAATCAGTCCAGCCCGGTCCAGGTTATTTTTTTAATATTAAATATTAAATAATTATATTATTTAAAAAAAAGATCTTACTTAGTTGAGCCCAGTAACAGTACCCTCACACCTCACGTGCATGCTTCAGACTCGGTCTCTGAACTCTGAAGTCTGATAGCCTCATTTATCATTTCTCCATTTCTCCATATCGCATGAAAATATGATTATAGGGTAATTTAAACAAAAATAAAATACAAGAGACAAAAAAATAGAAATCTTACATTTATAATTAACACAAATCTCTAACTAGCTCTTTGACACTTGCAAGAATAAAAAAAACAGTAGTAATATTTATAGGTATTGAATAGTATGACACCTTTTTGTACTTCATATAATACGCGAGAAAGATGATTATTTATACTCTAAAAAACTGAAAGAAACATAATTAATCTCATAACAAGGATCATGTGCAATTAAATAGTGCTTGCTTTGAAACTCAAACGGTAGTAAGCTTATGATATTGATACAAGTGAATAGGAAAGGGGATATGAGGGCCTTTTTTTTTGAGAGAGTTGGATTCAAGAAACTGGACTGGTCCAGTAACCCGGTGGACCAAGTCTAACCTAATCCAAGTCCCGGGTCTAACAAGACTAGACCAGTCTTTGGACTAAAAATTCTAACCCGGTCTCCATTTAGACTAGACTTCGGGTTGACATCCAACCCGGTCCAGTCCGGTATTTGTGCAGCCCTACCCATCACTTATCCATCAAAACCAATTGACAGGTCAATCGATAAGATTCCGACATGTGGAATATCAATATGCAATCACCCCAACAAATCTTCAAAAATATAAAAAGAAAAGAAATTATCCTTTATAGTTCCATTGACCTCTTTTTTTAAAAAAAATAAAAATAAAAATCAAATATATTAACATAAAAAATAGCTACAAGTTTGAAGTCCAACAAGGAAAATTAAGAGACTAATTGATGGCTAAACTAAAGAGAGCCACACCTCAAAATTTGATAACTGAAAAATATATTAGATTAAAATATATTTTTACTCTTATATTTTCTTTCAAGAAGTACTAAATATTTTATTTTAATAAATGAGATATTTTTCTCCTTAAACAATTTTTTAAAGGAGCAAAATTCTGCTTTGTTAGTGATGGATGGGAAAAAAAACCTCACTTATTAATACAGAGTGCTCTACTCTCCTTGAAAGAAAATATATAGATAAAACTATACTTTAACTCAAGAGTAAATATTAATTACTACTTTAATGTAAGCAATGACTTCTTTTTTGACAATGACTAGAATGGAATAAGCAATTACAACTTCTCTTTTGCATTATTAACAGAGGAAAAGTTATAATTGCTTGTTACATTCTAGTTATTTTCAAAAGAAAAATAATCATTGCTTAAATTAAAATAGTCACATATATTTACAATACTTGAATTTTAATGAATTAAAAATTTTTATAGAAAAAGTTGTAATTGTTTGTTTCATTCTAATCATTACAAAAAAAAAATAGTCATTGTTTAAACTAAAGCAATCACCAATATTTTATTTTTTATTTTAAACTAGAAGTATTTTAGTTATTTTACAAAAATTGTTAATGTTAGATAAGTCCCTAAGTAGAGGTGGAAAAATGAGCTAACCCAGCTCAGGCCCTTAAAGCATGGTTTCTCAAAAAATGGTCGATTTCTAAAGCTGATCCTTATTTGAAACGCTTAAGGCAGGGCTTGTAAGTTGTATTTTTTAAAAAAAAACTTAATAAAATAAATAAATACAAATATAGATATAGAATCTTAATCAAATTTTAAAATGAAGATATAAATTTTCAATGCAAATCAATCTTATCAAATCTGATAAATACAAAAACTTATGTATCATAAAGTATAACATTAATCAAAATTAAAAAATAAATTTTTATAAAGTAATTGTATTTAAGAAATTAATAAAAAATTTGCCAATATCATGGTAACATAAATGGTAAAAGACCCAATATTAATTATTTTGATAATACAATAATTAAAAAATTACTAATCTTTTGGAAAATAGGATTTGGAGGGCCGTCGAATCCAAGCCTTTTTTTTAGGGCTTATCTAATTTAAAAAAAAACCATATTTTCAAGCAACACTCTTATTTATGTAAGGTCTCCAAGCCTCGCCTTTCAAGCCCAGCTCTCATTGTCATTTGCATATTTCATAGGGTTAAAATACATTTTCTCTTATATTTTTTTTTGAGGACTTATGAACACTTTGTATTAATAAGTGAAGCATTTTTTTTAAACTATTTTTCAAAGAATAAGTTGGACATTTTTTATATGAGCAAAAATCTCTTCTGTTAGTAATTTATCAATGAAAGAGGATTTTTGCTTATTTAAAAAATAATTTAAAAAAATACTCTATATATTAGAACAATATGCCCAATGCTTCTTAAAGAAAAATATAGAAGTGAAAATGTACGCTAACCTAAACATATTTAAGAGATATCTAATGTCTTGGATTATTAGATATTGACTTGTGACGGAGAATAAATAGTCATTATTGAATTTCATAATCAGCTTTGCCAAAGGCACGGTTCCTCGACACAAGCTACTGTAGCTAGATAGGACGTCTCCATCCATGACCAGTAAATTTTGAGTTCCTGTGTCAGTTTGAAAATGATATCCTAACAATTACTCAGATCCTAATTATACAGTAAAATTAACAATTTCACCATTGTTAAGGAATAATAATTAATATCCCTAAACTCGGAATAAAATATTTAATTTTTTAATTTTTTCTTTCATTAAAATTAATTACTATAATAAAGTGTATCTATGAATAACTCCCTTCATTTCAAATTATAAAATATTTTTTTAAAAAAATTTAACATTCAAAAATATAAGACACTTTAATAAAAATAAAATTTCATTAATGATACATTTTAGATGTTATCTTTCTCATATGTTCTCTCTCTTTAACATTCTTTTATCAATGGAGTATTAAATGAAAGATATTTTTAAAATTTTATATTTTTATCTTTAAAAAGTAAAGTTATAAAGTGTATTTAATGAGCTTTATTAATATGTAAGATTTTATCTAAAAATATCTTATAATTTGAGACAGAAGGAGTATTACACATCTTTGCCACCAAATAGAATTTTAAAGCTTCACCCTATAATTAAGAACAAAGTAACTATTACATAGGTCTTGTTTTGTTGTTATAAAAAAATGAAACAGAATGAATTAAAACAATAAAGGTAGACATACAATGATCAAGAGAAATATGTGATCACATTTACAAAGAAAATAGGGGATTTAATTTATAGAGTTAAAAACCATAATTCATGAGATTTTTTGAGAATGTAATGATTTTTATATTTATAATATATTAATAAAATTTATTATATTTATCATAAAAAAATAATTTAATTTATTTTAATTTTAATTTTTTTAATTCATTCATTTTATTTTTTTAGTAACCAAACGTAACCTTAGACATATCTTTCAATAGATTGTAATGAGCTTGAGAATCCTGCTCTATGTTTAGTAATTAGTACGACTTCAAATCATCTTGTCAATTATAATCTAACCGCATGTTCTTTTTCTCGTGCGGCCCATGAAATGTAATAAACAAATCTCATTACTTATCACATGTGTAGTCATATATAATCAAAGAGTTATATCAAAAGGTTTTTTTTTATTAAAAAATCATGTGACGTCCTTGCCATAATATTAATATTCGTGGTAAATAACAAATATTAGATATGTCAGAGACGTTGAGTCTGAACTGATAACAAAAAAAGTCTCAAGCTTTCTTAATATAATTCACTCAGATGTAAAAAAATATAAGACTTTAGTAAAATAAGTATTTGATTTTATTAAAATGCGAGAAATTACAAGTATAAATTGAAAGTAAAGCTAACTATAACACTAAAGGCTACAAGGTGTAAAAACGTGAGTCTTTAGTTGAGTATTGACTGTCTTTTTTCTGTGTCTTCGTCTTCTATTTATAATGTTAGAGTAGTGGTAGGCTCTCCTTTGATACCTAGCAAGTTTTGTCGAGGAATCAAGAATCTCGCAAAACTCATGATATGATCTTGATTCCAAGTTCCCCATTTTTAGTAATTAGCTAGTCTCGCCGAGATACTTAGACACAATGTCTACGGATTTAGGAATTATTCGAGATCGTGTCTTCTTGTACTAATGGTCTAATGTTTGTAATTGATAAGATTTTGATATATTTATTTTATTGTGGCCTTTATTGAGTTTTTGGGCTGATCTTTTTATTTATGTTGAGCCTGACTTTTCAGTTACTTAGCCCAACTAACCATGTGACTTATCGAAGCGGTGTTTCATATTTTAGCCCAAACACATAAAAAATAGAATTGTTTTATTTAGTGATAATTTTATATTGAGCATTAACATTTTTTTAAAATTAAAAGAATATGTATTGAAAAATTTTCATATAAACTCAGTATATTAATTCATCTATGCTTCGTTAGATAAAAATATATTATGTTATATCAGTTTAATCAACTAAAATTTAATATCTCATTATTTTTAATCAGTGTATTTTTAAATAGTGTCTAATTTCTTGTTTTTTTTTCCTACCATTACTAATGACAAAATAAATTTATATTTAAAATGATGTTGAATAGAATATGAACGATGGGTTCAAGAATTTCTCACATGAATTACAAGCAAAGTGGAAGCCGTAACCCATGACACTTGGCTGCAAAACGACTGACATATATAGCATTGATGCGGACTCCCCCCTCGTCAACATCAAAGACAAATCCTCGTTATCTATTTTGTATATTATTGTTATTATTATAGCCCGACCCGCCGTACAGCTTTAACATTGCAGGCTACTCAACATCTTTCACCGAGTAATCACAACCACTTCACGATCACTAATATAACAATGGCTTCCAATTCCATGGAGGATCCTCCTTCTTCACAGTCTCAGAGAAGCTACTGGAGAAGATGGAGCAAGCAAGATTTCCTACCGGAGCAATCCTTCCAGAGCTGGGCCACCTACAAAACGGCACTTTCTCAGACGTCGATGAGGTTCAAGGATCGTTTGCTGAGCAGATCCGACGACGCCACCGAGACTGATGAGATCAGAAAGGAGAGCGAGAACGACATGAAACGCTGCCTCAACTGGTGGGATCTCATCTGGTTTGGCTTCGGCTCCGTTATCGGCGCCGGAATCTTCGTCCTTACCGGTCAAGAAGCTCACGAAGACGCCGGACCCGCCATTGTCTTGTCCTATGTCGCTTCCGGGATCTCCGCCATGCTCTCCGTTTTCTGCTACACTGAATTTGCCGTGGAAATCCCCGTTGCAGGTCAGACTTTTCCTGTTTTGATATTGAAACTTATCTGAGCTATCATTGCATAGAAGAACCTCCAGTAAGAAACTAGAGTCAATGCTTCGTGGAAGCCATTAACTTGAAGCGGAACGTAAACCGGCGGTACCGTAGAAGCCAGAAAATTGGTTGGGGCGGGTCGGGCCGGTAGTTCATATATAGGTTCAAGTTTCAAACACATTGCCAAAAAAAAAAATCTTGGTAAAAAATTAAAGATATAGAGTATGTATGTTTTGTTGATTTATTGAAATATTTTTATGCATGTTAAAGACTTAAAGATATAATTTTTTATTTATTTCTTATGTACTAATTTTTTTCCCTAGAAAATTGACCATCCATCTTGATCTTGTTCAAATTATCCATGTACAATGACATATAAAAATATATTGAAAATCGGAACTTTGTTTACTGATTGAATTTTTTTATGAATCAAACTTTTAATTAATTATTCATATTAATATAATAAAATTAATATTATTTGAGACATTTATGACAAATAGTTAAAAAACGTTAAACTATCCAGATATATATGCTAATTCCATTAACGAAAAAAATTGGCCCTGCTTTATTCCCACATATTTTGAATTCATCCCTGCTTTATTCTATGATTTGTAAATAATACAATATAAATTTATATTGTATTGATTAATTGGTGTTGATATTAATGTTGATGGGTAAAATTTTTAGAGTTGGCTTTGAGGTGGATGTATTGCAGTGGAGGGAACTCTGCAAATCTGAATTGTTAGATTAAATTTGATGATTTAGATTTAATTAGTTAAGTTTAATTTGAATGGTTTAGATTTACAATGGGGTGCAATGCAAGGAAAATGAAGTGGAGAGAAAACCAACTTCAAAACTTTCGAGTTTTTGAAGTTAAAGTGATTTTTGACTTTAATTTGTAAGCTTAACTCAATTAAATGCTAACACAGGTGGGTCATTTGCGTATCTGAGAGTGGAACTTGGAGATTTTGCAGCATTCATAGCAGCAGGAAACATTCTGCTTGAAAGCATAGTGGGAAGTGCTGCTGTAGCCAGAGGTTGGACTTCCTACTTCACTACTCTCTTAAATCGTCCCTCTAATTCACTTCGTATCACAACAAACCTCAAACCTGGCTACAACTTACTAGACCCCGTAGCTGTTGGAGTCCTAGTTGTTGCAGCCACAGTCGCCATGATCAGCACCAGGAAAACCTCGTACCTTAACTGGATTGCCTCAGCGATCAACAACATTGTCATCCTCTTCATCATAATCCTAGGTTTCCTCCACGCCAATACCTCAAACTTGTCCCCTTTCTTGCCTCACGGGGTGAAAGGGGTTTTCAGAGCAGCTGCTATTGTGTATTTTGCATATGGTGGGTTTGATAATATTGCCACCATGGCTGAAGAGACCAAGAAACCTTCAAGGGATATACCCATTGGCTTACTTGGTTCAATGTCTTTGATCACTGTCATTTACTGTTTGATGGCACTTTCATTGAGTATGATGCAGAAGTACACACAGTTAGACGAAAACGCAGCGTTTTCTGTGGCTTTTGGAAGTTTGGGACTGAAATGGGCAAAGTATGTGGTGGCTTTTGGAGCTTTGAAGGGCATGACCACTGTGCTTTTGGTAGGAACCTTAGGACAGGGACGATATATCACTCATATTGCACGTGCCCATATGATTCCACCTTGGTTCGCTCTTGTACATCCCAAGACAGGAACCCCAATAAATGCTACACTTTTGATCACCATTTCAGGTGATTAATATCTAATCTCTCCTTCTTGTTTAGTTCTAATCATTTTATCATTTCATTTCATTCAATCACTCTCGCAAAACAAGGTTACAAAATGTGTCTCAAAACTCAAATCTATATACTAATGAATCTGGGATAGGTTTTAGTCAACTTTAATACCTGGTGTAATGGTCAACTTTAATCGAAGTCCTTATTGTTACCGAGCATCATTGTCACATCAGCGACATATCATTATTACATTAGTAACATGTCATTATCAAGGACCTTAACCATATAAAGTCAAGGTATAGGGACTTTGACCCAAGGCTATATTCTCACTTTAACCATATTATCTGAAAACTCAATCTATATTCTAATGAACCTAGGGAAAACATAAATTTTGTCTTTAAATTAAGTTGTGGTCAACTTTACTTAAGGTTCTTATAGTTTTTTATTAAAGAGTCAATATTTAGAGTTGTTGTCAACTTTGATCAAAGTTCTTACTGTTACCAAATATTATTATTACATTGGTGACACATCATTATCATATTAGCAACATATCATTTTCGGGGATCTCAACCAAAATTAACCATATTAAAGTCAAACTACAGGGAATTTGACCTGAGTTAACCAAAATTTTTAACCAAAAACTATGTTTTCCCATGAATCTATATACTAATTAATGACTGTAAATAATTGCTGCCTCTGATGTATATTATATATAATTTCAGCTGGTTGCATTGCATTTTTCTCGAGCTTGGATGTATTATCAAGCTTGTTGTCAATAAGCACTTTGTTTATCTTCATGATGATGGCTGTGGCTCTTCTTGTGAGGAGATACTATGCCAAAGGAGTCACACCAACTCACAACCTGTTAAAGTTAGTCATCTTCTTGCTTCTCATTGTTGCTACTTCAATGGCTACTTCAGCCTATTGGGGTTTGAGCAATGGTTGGGTGGGATACACCATAACTGTTCCTTTATGGTTCTTGGCGACTTTAGGACTGTCCTTATTGCTGACTCAGCAAAGGGCACCTAGGGTTTGGGGTGTACCTCTTGTTCCATGGTTACCTTCTTTGTCTATTGCAACAAATATATTTCTGATGGGGTCTTTACCCTCAGGAGCATTTATAAGGTTTGGGATTTGCACTGCTGTAATGTTGATCTACTATGTTTTCTTCGGCCTTCATGCCACTTATGATATGGCTCATCATCAACAAGAAGACAAGAAGATGATTCGGTCCATGAAAACAAACAAAGAGAGCTTAGAGAATGGAGAGCCTTAGTTGTAAATTAGACCATACTGTGTCCTTTAATTTTCAGTACCACTGATGAATCTTCTGTAATACATTAATTTCCACAACAAATACTTTATACTTGTATGAAATTCTACGCTCTGCAGCTTTTTTTGTTTTTGGCATCTTTGCATTAAGTTCCCTTGGATCAGGGATCAAATTGAGAACTTCAGTTGATGAGAAGAGAATAAATTAAAATAACGATATCAGAGAAAAGAAAGGAGGGAGGCATGGGAGGAAACATAGGCACTTCAATTTTTTCGCCATATCAGTGAAGGAATAACGCAGATATGGATTCTCATATTAAAATTCAACAAGTCAGATTTAATATTTGATAAAAGGGAAAATTTAATGTCTTGGTTCTTATAGTTTTAATATTACTTGATTTAACTTAATTTTTAAAATTTTGACTTGTCTTAAATTCAGTTCCAAAATGTATACTACTAATAAAACAGAACAATGAAAATTCCCTCGTAATAAACGTTTTGAGGCAATACCTAGCGTCAAGCATGCGAGGGGGCCTATTGAGGTTTATGTTGCTAGAATCAACTTCACTTGACAAGTTTGTGAAATCACTATGCTTTTTTAAGGATTTGCTCTTAACTTCAACTTAACTCTGCCTATATTTATAGCCAGTTCCAAGTTTGAGTAAAAGAGAAGGGTTGTGTTAGGCTATCAACAGCCAACGTAAAACTTTGTTAAATCTATCATGAACATGGACAATAGTAAGAGACTAATCGACAATAATTTGACAGTGAAATTGAAAAATCAAATTATATCTCAAGTGAAAAAATTTAGATATTTGGGAGCCATTATTCAAAATAATGGTGAAATTAGTAGGAATATTTCACATAGGATTCAAGTTGGGTGGTTTAATTAAAAAAAAACTAAAGGAGTTATTTGCGACCGTAAGGTGCCTAATAAACTTAGAGGAAAGTTTTATCGTAGTGCTATCAGACCAACTATGTTATATAGTAGTAAATCCTGGACTCTAACGGGACAGCAAGAGCATAAAGTTGGAATAGCAGAGATGAGAATGTTACAATAGATGTGCGGACATACATGTAAAGATAAAATTCGAAATGAGTATATACACGAAAAAGTGAGGGTAGCACCTATTGAGGAAAAAATGATAGAAAATCATTTGAGATGGTTTGGGCATGTAAAAAAAAACTGCGAGAGTCACCAGTGAAAAGAGTGGAACATATAACTTTGAGCCCTGTTAAAAGGGGTAGAAGAAGGCCTAAGAGAATACTCTTGAAAGTTGTTGAACGCGATCTCTTAATTAATAATATTTTTAAAAGCTTGATAAATGATAGAGCACATTGATAGATGCAATCTATATAACCGACTCCACCTAATAGGATGTTGTTGTAAAAGTTAAGGGATTAAAGGTTATTTGGTTTACTTACTTTTTTCATTTGAAAAGGACTTTTGAGATTTAAGAATGTTAAAATTGTTTGGTTTCCTTGAATTTTTTTCAAAGTTCATTTCAAAAGTATACTAAGAAAGCTTTAAAAGTCGATTTCTTAATCATAAATATATAATTTCTTTACATTTGAAAGTTGGGGGATTTGACTTTTTTTCCGTGTTATCCTTTGTCCTGGATGTGGCTGATCATAATGATGATAATGCTGATCACAAATATCCATCTTCAATTTCAAATATAACATTTTCAAGAGATGAATAGCGTATGTAATTTAATTAGAGATTAAATTGTTCATTATAAACAGTGGAACTAATCATGTTAATTTTCCCAAATTATTTATATAATTTTTTTCGAACGGATCAAACTTTAGAAGAATAACTGCATTAAAGTTTCACATAAAAAATTTAATTATCACAAAGTTCATTAAACAATAATTTTAATTTAATTGTTAATAGATCTTGTATTAATTAATTTTTTATATGAAACTTGTATGTAATTTTTTTTAACTTTATATTATTTTTATTTTTATTATTCGACGTATCAAATTTTATCTTATTTAAAATTTTTATTGTAGATATTTTTTTAATATTTTAAATATCTTACATTTGTGTAACAAAAATTATATATTATAAAAGTCAATGTCTTTTTAGTAATTTTATATCTAAAAATATTTTTTACTTATACATCATTCAAATAATTTTTAATTTACTAAACTTACTTTTAAAAATGCATCCAAAATAATTAACTTTTATCAAATTGATTTTTAATAAGTGAATTTTTAATAAATTAACTTTTAGTAAATGGAAAAATATGCACTAAGTTGTGCTGGATCATCCTGAAAAAATTTAGTTTTAAATGAGTTAAAATTACAATAATCAAATAATTAATTTTTTTGACAAAAATCATAAAAATAAAAATAAATTAAATCATATTTTTAAAATTTTTGTTTGAATGATCTATTATTGCAAATGTGAGAAAGTATAAACAGAAGTTACAATAGAGAAAAATTGGATTGAGATAACACCGTGCTTTAAAATTAGAAAAAAAAAATATATCCAAAGGACATAACGTTATAATATTCATAATAAAATTCTAAAGATAAATTACTAAAAAATTGAAGGAACTTAATTTTGTTACAAATGGATGAATATGTTCATACATTAAAAAAATTAATAATTTGGATCTGTATCAGTGTTAAATAAATAAAAAATTAGACCATCTTAACATAGATGTATTCCTACCTCTTGCTCCACATGTATTCTAATATTGTCCAATAACAAATTATATTATAAGTAGCCTTTTTAATTTTTCCCCATCCATAATGAAACTCTTTTAGATGTAAACTTTCATATGTACACGTAGAGGTTATTGTAGAAAGAACATACATTAATTAATAAACTAAGGCCTTGCATTGTCTAAGGTCTCTTTCTTTGCTTTCAATGGATCCAAAATCTTATTCTTCTCTTGTTGGCGATGATGAGCCATATCATAAGTAGCATGAAGCCCAAAGAACACATAATAGATTAGCATCACAGCAGTGCAAATTCCAAACCTTATAAATGCATCAGTCCCTAAGGATCCCATCAAAAAAATATTTGTTGCTATAGACAAAGATGGCAGCCAAGGGACAAGGGGTACCCCCCAAACCCTTGGTGCCCTTTGCTGAGTCAGCAATAAGGACAGTCCTAAAGTGGCCAAGAACCATAGAGGAACAGTTATGGTGTATCCCACCCAACCATTCTTAGGTCTCAGACCCCAATAAGCTGAAGTAGCCATTGAAGAAGAAACAATGAGAACCAAGAGGATGACTAGCTTCATCAGGTTGTGAGTTGGTGTGACTCCCCTCACATAGTATCTTCTCACAAGAAGAGCCACAGCCATCATCATGAAGATAAATAATGTGCTTATTGACAACAAGCTTGCCAATACATCCAAACTTGAGAAAAATGCGATGCAGGCAGCTGAAATTATATATAAAAAAGCTAGCAATTATTCACAGTCGTCATTGGTAAGTATGGATTGAGTTTTAATTTGAGATAAACTTTTTAAGCCTTACGAGACTGATTGAAAGGGAGTATAGATTGTCTCCTGGTTTTAAGTCTTTGATCTGTTCAGGTTCCCACAAAAATTAAGCCTAATTTGTGTACAACTGAAGAGAAGCTTAGTCTATTATATATTGGAAAGAAATGAATAATTGACCCAAATGAGGCTGGTTTGAATCTTTGAGAAAAATATTTTTGGGTATGGATTTACCTAACCATCAACTAGAACTCTGATCTAGATTAGTCGTGGTGGCTAATATACAGTCTGGCTAGATATCAGATGCGAAAAAGGGAAAAGAAAAGAAAAGAAAAGAATTGAATAGAAACTAGAAGGGAAGGTTATTGAATGAAAATTATTATAGTTACCTGAGATGGTGATCAGAAGTGTAGCATTTATTGGGGTTCCTGTTTTGGGATGCACCAGAGCAAACCATGGTGGAATCATATGAGCACGTGCAATATGCGTGACATATCGTCCCTGTCCTAGCGCTCCCACCAAAAGCACAGTGGTCATGCCTTTCAATGCACCAAAAGCCACCACATACTTTGCCCATTTCATTCCCACACTCCCAAAAGCCACAGAAAACGCTGCGTTTCGGTCTATCCCTGTATAATTCTGCATCATACTCAATGAGAGTGCCATCAAACAGTAAATCACAGTGATCAAAGACATTGAGCCAAGTAAGCCAATTGGTATATCCCTCGATGGCTTCTTAGTCTCTTCAGCCATAGTCGCAACATTCTCAAACCCAGTATATCCAAAATAAACCACAGCCGCTGCTTTGAAAACCCCTTCAATCCCATAAGGCAAGAAAGGCGACAAGTTTGAGGTATTCGCATGAGAAAAACCTAGGACTATAACAAAGATGATGACAAAAGTGTTGATTCCTGATGCTATCCAGTTAAGGTACGAGGTTTTTCTGGTGCTGATCATGGCGATTGTGGATAGAATGACCAGCACCACAACGGCTATTGGATCTAGTAAGTTGTAGCCATCTTTGAGATTTGTTCTGATACGAAGTGAATTAGAGGGACGATTCAGAAGGGTTGTGAAGTAAGAGGTCCATCCTCTTGCTACTGCCGCACTTCCTATTATGCTTTCTAGCAGAATGTTTCCTGCTGCTATGAATGCTGCAAAATCTCCGAGTTCCACTCTCAGATATGCAAATGATCCACCTGTAACAATACTTGAGCAATTTATTTATTTGAGGATTAAATTATTAATAATTTAGAAGAATACATCACTGTTATACCAGGAAGAGGAAGAAGAGGAAGCCACCTGCAACGGGGATTTCCACAGCAAACTCTGTGTAGCAGAAAACAGAGAGCATGGCGGAGATGGCGGAGGCGACGTAGGACAAGACAATGGCGGGTCCGGCGTGGTCGTGAGCTTCTTGACCGGTGAGGACGAAGATTCCGGCGCCGATGGCGGAGCCAAGGCCGAACCAGATGAGGTCCCACCAGTTGAGGCAGCGTTTCATGTCGTTCTCGCTTTCTTTTCTAATTTCATCAGTCTCGGTGGTGTCGTCGGATCTGCTCAGCAGACGATCCTTGAATCTCACCAACGTCTGAGATAGTGCAGTTTGGTAGGTTGTCAAACTCCGGAAGGATTCTTCAGGGAAGAAATCTTCCTTGCTCCATCTTTTCCAGTAGCTTCTCTGCAAAGGATGGTCTTCCATGGAAGCTACTGTTGTCTGTTACACGTGCTTGGTGATGATTCAGTGAAATTGACGAGTGGATTAGAATGTAAGTAGATAAGTAGAATGTAAAACGCTGTTAGCATGATGTACGTAGACTATTGCATAAAAATTAACCCTCCATGAAGTAGCTATGAAACTATTTAAAATTATTTTTGTTTTATTATTTTAAAAATTAATATTTTTTGTAAATCATGTTTTGAGAATAAAAAAATAATAAAAATTATTTTTATTATTTTTTTATTTTTTAAAATAATAATTTCAGAACACCTTAAAATTATTTTTATTTTTCTGTTTTTTAAAATAATATTTTATTTTTTTATTTTTTAAAACGCATTATCAAACAAATTTTTTTATTCTTTTATTTTAAAAAATAAAAAATTATTTTTAAAATAAGTTGTCAAATAGACCCTATATCTTTTTTTTTAATTTTTTTAAAAGATGCTACTTTTACCTTATAAGAGGAGCAAAGCTTCCTTTTGATTTAACCCTCCTCTTATTTAACAATATTAAAATTTTTTGTCTCGTCTCCTCCAAACCCTTCCTTTGGAGGGATTTTTCTTTTTCCTCTTCCCTTTTCTCACCTTCTCTCCCCTTCTCTCACCTCCCCTCTTTTGTATTAAAATCCCTTCCCTCCAACCAAATATATGTAGTTCCTATATTTTATTTAAGTCTTGCTATAAATTTTTGTATTGCTCTTCAATATTTCAAGTTTGTATACTTTTCTCCATCTATACTATTAATTCTATAGTTTTAAAGAGATATTGACATGACACAAATAATATTAAAAATGTTGATATGTTCATTAGTTCCATTAAGTTTATGCTAATGTGTTGAAGTAAAACTATAATTTGGGCCAAGCCCGATGACTATCCCATTCCGCTTGAAAAATTTAGGATCAAACTCTAAAAAATAATATTTTTTAAATGTTAGGACTTGGTCAGGCTTGGCTTGAACACTTGGAAAAAAATAAAATATATATATATATATAATATAATAAATATTATTTAATTTTTAAAGTTTTATATTTCATATATTTTAGTATAAAATAAAAATATTTATATTTTCATATTTTTATATTTTTAAATCAATAAAATATCTCAAAAAATATTTAAAATACATTTTAACATTAATTTTTATCTTTTAATACCCAATTATTTTTTAAAAAAAAGTTTTGAGTCATACACATTATTTGAGAATCCCAAAATATATATTTTATATTTTTTATAAAATAAGATAATTAATTTTAAAGTAAAAATTAAATTAAAAATAATTTTAAAAATAAAATTTAAATATATATGAATTCTCGACTCTACTACTAGATAAATATAATAAATAAAATAATATTTTTAAATAATTATTTAGTTATCGTCCACATCAGATTTGGTTAAAAAATAAAAATAAATTAAAGTAAACATTCCTTATATGTAGGGGTTAAATAATATAAAAGTTAAAAAAATAATTCTAAAAAAATATTTTACTCATAATTAAATAATTTTATTTTACATAATATAATGATGACTATTTTTCTCATGTTCTTAAAATAAAAAGTATAGTTTACTTAAAATTATTAAAAATTTTGAACTAATTCGAGCAATAATTTTAGATTAGTAGTTTAACTGTGATTGAATTGAGATCAATTTAATTATAATTAAAATAATATAATTTATTTGATCAAAAAAATAATATAATTTGATTAAAATGTATAAAATATTTATATATGACTATGATAAGAACAATAATTAAAAAATAAGATATTAATTTACAAGTAAAGACAATATTTATGAATAAATTATACGTAATACAACAAAATAGTAACATAATTACTTAAGTGCAAAGTTACAAAGTTAAAATAATATTTTATATTTAATAAAATTATTTAAAAATTAAAATTTGTTCAAAAAATATATTTTTAAAAATTTTTGGATATTTTGGCCAGCCTGAATAAGCCAAAGCCCAAAGGTGTTAAGGTCGGGATTGACTATATAAGCTTTTTAAATAAAATAAAATACTTTAAATCTAATCCAAATAAGCCCAACTTGAATTAAGCCAGTCTTGCCTAAATTACTAACTCTATGTTAAATAGGTACTGAGTTGAGCTTTTTAACTAGCAAAATAAATTTTAAAAAAAATGCTACATCAGATGAAAAAAAGCTTACCTGAAGTTAAAAAAATCTCTCAATTTAAAATATCTAAAAAAAATTTTAATCTTGATTTTTAAACTTTAAGACTTGCAAATTTGTTTAAAAAAATTGTGTCTTCTACTTTTTTAAGTATCCCAAAAATATATTTTATATTTTTATTATATAAAAATAATTAATTTTAAAATAAAAATTATTTTTCAATAAGTTCAAGCTTATTCGGGCTAGCCTGCCTGAATTATTAACTCTAGTTGGAAGGAGATCAAGCTAAGAGCTTCAACCTAACTAAATTATTGACTCTAGTTGGAAGAAGATTAGGTTGAGAGTTTTAGGTTCTCCCATTACTTTTTTGTTGAACCTTTCAAGCTTCAGCTTTGTCCAGCCTTAAGATTAAAATTATAAAAAAAAGCCTGAATACTTAATTTTTTTATTTTGTAATTTTTTTAAAATCAATTCTTACTTTAAAATGAATTATTTTTATATTATAAAACTATAAAATATATTTTAGGGATACTTAAAAAATGTAAAAGACTCACTTTTTTAAAAAAAAATTGCATGTCTTAAAAATTAAAATACATTTTAAATTATTTTTTGAGATATTTTATGTATATATTTTAAGTTGAAAGTTTTCTTTAACTTCAGGTTAACCTTTTTTTAATTAATTTATATTTTTTAAAAAACTTATTTTGCTCATTAATTAGAAAGTCTAACTCAATATTTATTTAACACATCAGCACAAACTTAATTGTATTACTTGATACATTAACAATCTTAATACTATTTGTGCAGTGTCAATGTTCCTCCAAAACTCTAGGGACTAATGTTATAGACGAAAAAATATATAAGGACATGAAATACCAAAAAAGGAGTAGGGACCTATAATAAAATTTGAGCAAAATGTAGGGATTAAAAGTAATTTTTTTTATTTTTAAGGAATCAATTACAACTCAAATTATATATATGCAATTGAATGCAAAATTCAAATTCTGAATATTATTTACCTATTTATTAATATGACCCATTCCTTATCATTGGAAATAAAATAAAATCTTATTGATTTAACTATTTTTCTTAACAAATACCCCCGAGTTACTCTTAGAACAAGGCACTTTCAATTGATTACTTAATTAAAAAATTAAAATCAATTCATTAAATATATTTTGAAATGAAAAAAAAATCAAATCTACTCCCATTGAAAATAGAAAAAGAGATACATACAGGATAAATCATAAAATTAAATTTATAACAAGAGTAAAATTAATAAATAATCTGCATGTGCCTTTTATTAAAAGCTAAAGAATTCTTCTAAAAAATATCTTAAAACAAGAACTTGAGAAAGTAAATGTTACGTAAAAATATCTTATATTTGAAATAGAGTATAATAATTAATAGTATTTGAATCTTCATTACAAGTATTCATATTTAAGGCCCAACCATATATCAAATATAATTATTTCTAATAAGAGAATACCTGCTAGCAATAAAAAAATTATCAATAGTTGATTTTTTTAAAATTTGTATAGTGCACTAAAATAATTTATTTTTTAAGAGCCTGTGATGTATTTTTATTCCACAGCTCATTCGGTTTAACTAATAAACTATACTCTTAATCTAAACTATTATAATTTATTAGGTTATTGTTAAAAAAGTTTATATCCACCATGTTTTCATCAAAAAGAATAATACATATAAAAGAAAAAACATATGTAAAATCCCAAAAATTTAATCTTGATTAACTAAGTTAAATTAGGATAATTTAGTAAATTAATTTGGTGTGTAGTCAGAGGGATCTAACAAATATTTTGGATTGTAGTTTTAGCTTTAGATTCAGGTCCGAAGCAAAGTCAGGCTACTTGGACCTTTAAAAAGGAGAAAATTATAGGAGCGAAGTTTGTGCCACATGTCATGGCATGTACCACCTTTTTCATGGAGCATGTGCAGCAACTCATGAAGGATGGGTCTCTCTACAGCATATCGTCAAAATTTTATAGTTATAAGACTGTGTCAAAATTTGAAAAGGAGAAAGAAATAAAAAGTAAAACGAAGAGCTGGGGATTTTCTTTGTTAGGACTCGATAATTTAGACCTTTGGGGACATTTTAGAGCTTCCATATAATAAGGGTAAGTTTCTTATGCCAATTCTCTTCATCTTTCTCCATTTTCCATACAATAAAGGGTAAGTTTCTTATGCCAATTCTCTTCATCTTTCTCCATTTTCTTGGAGATTTAAGCTAGAGTTTGTATTTGAAAGATAATTTTTTTATCTATAATGGCTATGGATCTAAATTTATTAACTTAAATGGAGTTAATGGGAGTTATTTAAATTATTTAAACCTAGTGTTAATAATTAAATAGACTTTGGTGATTGAAGGAAACTAAATACTCAAAAATGATAATTAAATAGGGTAATTGGAGGTATTGGATAGCTATTAATTAGGGTTTAATAGTCTATTTAGACTAATGTGAGTCAAAGAAAACTAATAAACTCTATAGGTAAGTTTGAATGTGAGGGATTAAAATTTTAGTCGTTGTAAAAGTGTTGAATAAATAGTGAAAATTGTTCTAATAGGGATATTAATGACAATTCATATAATTAATTATAGATTAATCATTTCTTGACACCAATTGAGCAACTTGAAGTGTGGAAGTATTGGTTATTAAAGGGTAAACCTTTAGCCTCTCAAATATTTGAAGTAAATAAAGGAAATTTAGTTTATGCATTTGCTTGTTTGATTTATTATATGTGAAAAGAATTGTTTGAAAAACATGTGATATTTGTAAATATATATTTAATGCAAATTGTGGCAATGTGATAAGTTTATGTGATATGTGGAAATTGATGAAAATGATGTGTGTAAATATATGTGTCAATATGTTTGTTATTATTGAGTAAAAGCATGTGCACATAGGAATGAGAAATATAAGATGTGGTTGTGGAATGGAATATTTGATGAGTATGATTGTGGTTGTGAAAAGTAATTAGCATGATGTGATGAAAATGATGCTAATGAATTTCATGCTAATCATGATGATTAAGAATATGTATATTACTGGTGTAATATATGTACATTGCATGATCATTTAAGGCAAGAATTAGCCTACAGAGAGAAAAGTAGATATTGGAAATCCATGTGGTAAGGCCATTATTTGGATCTTGATGGCTTGCCTCTTTACTTTTATTATCCCACTTATTCTTTGAGAGACTATTCCACTTATTTATCGAGGAACTCTAACCTAATCAATCTTCATAGGTTCATGAGGAGGCTAGATAAGGGGCACGACACCCTATGGTTATTAGTATCAGGAAAAATCATGACTTACAAGTGAGTGTAACAGCCTTGGTTGGGTAGTTTCTCATAAGTGTAAGGCTTAGGTGCAACATCCTAAAAATTATTCCTTTGATTAATTAAGATAATGAAGGAAAAATATATAAATTTTAAGTATAAATGGGTTTAGGATAATTAGAGATGACTAATAAGCCTATCGAGTTTAACTTTAGCCATTAGATTGGGTTTAGAAGTGAGTTGGGTCATCAAGGCTCAAATTGTAGAGAAAAAAAATTGATTTATTGCCCACTGTGCGATATGCTATAGCATAATTTTTAGAACCATAATTTTTCAAAACAGGGAGAAGGGAGCCTGAAATAAAGGGAGGGCAACTGAAAAAATAGTTGCTCTGCTAGGACATCAAGTTTTAGGCATTTTAGAGGTGACTAGAATTTGATTTCACTTAGGTACGCCTTCTTTATCTCCTTCTTCTTCTCTCTAAACATTTTAAAAGTGAGATTTGAAGTTTAAAGATGAGGATTTTCAGACCTAAGGCTATAGGTCTGAACCCATTGGTCTAAATATGACTAATGGGAATTATTTGAGTTATCTAAACCTGAATATAGTGGTTTTATGCACCTATGAGAATGCTCTCAATTATGGACAAATTTGCTCATTAAAGTGCCATTAATAATAAAAGTTAGTATTATTAGAAGCCATTATTGGTAGTATATGGGTTTAATAAAGTTAGTTGAAGTTAATGAAAGTTAACAAATTTAATATAATGATTAAATTTGAGAGTTGAAAGTTTTAGGTGATTAAAGTATTAAAATTTGAGAATTGAAAGTGAATAATTTGTAACATTGATGATGATTTTGGGTTGTTGGATGATATATTAGTGATTATTTAAGTTATTAAGAGCTAAATAAATTTAATGAGAGTTAAAGAACTCATTGAATGTGAGGTTGACCTTATAGTTGAGAAATTTGATTATTAAAGTATGAAATTAGATGTTGGAGGTAGTGATTTTGATGATTATTAATGATGTGTGTTAATGTTAATTATAGACTAACCTCGTGAAGCACCAGTGATCTTGAGTTTAGCTTGAAAGCAAGTGATAATAAGGGGTGAATCTTTGACTTCTCAAAAGTTTGAGGTAAAAGGGGGAAGTTTAGTTTATGCATTTGCTTGTTATTTGATTATATGTTTAAATGAATTGTTCGAAAATCAAGTTATGTTTGTAAACCAATGTTTGATACAAATTGTGGCAATGCATGTAAGCTATATGATTAAGATTGATGTAATGATATGTGTAAGAATAATTGTCTATATGAATATGCATGTGTGGATAAATGATATGTTTGAACATAAATATGAGAACATGTTGAGACTTATGATGTGATGATAATGTGATATGAGTGAGATGGAATATGTGATGGGAATAATAACTAAAGGAGAATAAAGTAGTTTGTGGATTTTGATGATTGAGAAATTGCGAGCAATGCATTTAATGAGAAATTTTATGCAAGAATAAATATGTTTCAGGCGGGAGTTTGCCTATAGGGAAAAGAGTAAATGTTGTAAATCCACGTGGTATTGGCTATTTACTTTTGGAATAAAAAACTAGCTAGGTGGCCAATCGTTGAAATAGTAGGTAGTCATTATCCCATTATTGTAAAGGGACTATCCCACTTCTTCTTCGAGGAACTCAAATCTAACTAATTTCTATCGGTTCATGATGAGGCTAGATTAAGGGTACGACACCTTATGGTTGTTAGTATTGGGAGAAACCATATGGCATAAGTGAGTGTAGTAGTCTTAGTCAAGCAGCTCCTCATAAGTGGACGGCTTGAGAAGTTTGAGTTCATGAATATAGCCCACTAAGTAGTCACTGGTTTCATGTTAAAGATATTAGGAGAGTATAAAGTTAGCATTGATTATGCATATCATACCCTAGTCATATAATTATTATTTTTGTAGTCTTACATATCTTACAAAGGGCACATAGTTGTCATTGTTGTAACCCTTACATGTTAAGTAATATAATATTATACGATTGTTAGTTTTGTAATTATATGAATTAGATAATTTAATATATGAATATGTTTCATTTGAATATGCCATTTACATCACTACAATTAATTAACATGTATTTGTATATGCTATATCAACCTTAATTATTGAGTGGTTGTACTCACTTTTCCATTTAACATTTTAAAAGCAATAGTTTCAAGTAGGACAAAGGAAAAGTACCTGAGGCTTAGGAACTTGGTTTCCTACTGTAGGCCTGTTGTAATTTTAAACACATATGTATTATTAATTGATATTGTTAACTAGGATATTTATATTTTGTTATACTTGTACCATTGAATATTAAGTATTGACATGTGTATTTCAAGTCCTATTGTATGTGATATCTTTTTAATTGAAATATTTGAGCAAGGTCAAAATACTAACACAAATATAAATACAAATATAAATTTGACTATATGCATGTTTGTATTAAATTATACTGAATTTTAAAGTGAAAATACCTCCCCCCACTATTTTCAAAATTAAGTGGATAAGGGTTGAATTTGTAAAATATACGATATTTAGTTGTTGTGGTGTGTTACATAGGTTATTATAAGTCTATTGAGTGTAATCTAGGTGTTGGCTTATGCTTGTGCCGTAGTAGAGCTCTCACATCTTTTCATTTTCTCTTTATTTTCTTTTTGTTTTTCAAACTAATTCTCACTTTTTTTTACTGTCAGAATCTGACCATGTGCATGGCACATGCCACCGCACCATGGCATGTGGTGTAGAAAGACAAGCCTCTTGTTTTTGCGACATCCCGTGAACACGCTGCGGCATGTGGCACAACACCACTTTTCCTTGTTTTCCTCCCTTTTCAAGGTTCGGGTGTCCTAACTCTTCTCCTGACTCAATTCTAGAGTTGAAATCATAACCTAAAATATTCATTAACTCTCTATAAACACACACCACATTAATTTATTTAATTAACCTCATTTAACTTAGTTAATCAATGGTTAATTTTCCAAGATGTCACACGCAATCCATGGTACAGTGAGTCAAAACTCACTTTGGTTCATACATTTGGACTCGGTTTGGCCTAACTCCCATCCTGGCCCTTTCTTGAAACTGTCTAATGATCTAAAAGGTTATTTAATAACTAAGAAACTCAATTAACTTAATTAATATACTAATTTACTAATTTATCCTTAATTAGTATTTCTCCCGTCTCAAATTATAAGATATTTTTAGACAAAATCTCATATACCAATAAAACTCATTAAATACACTTTACAATCTTAGTTTGTCAAGATAAAAGTATAAACTTTAAAAAATGCCTTTCATTTAATACTCCATTGGTGAAAGCATATTAAAGAGAGAGAATGTATGGGAAGAGTAATATTAAAAAACTATCATTAATGAAACCTTATTTTTATTAAAGTGTTTTATATTTTGAAAAGTTGAATCTTTTTTAAAAATATTTTATAATTTGAGATGGAGGGATTAATTAGATTTCAAATTGAAAACTCGATATGTTACATTTATTCTTTCTTATGAATTTAAAACTAAATACGTATCACGTGAATGCTTCTTTTTCATTTTGTCTTAGTAAGAACAGAGCACAAGCAAGTGCGAACAGACACCAGATCACTTTAATTCAGCAAACTTTAGAGATAGATAAGGTTACAAAAAATAATAATAATAATCCAACGAGGGTGTGGATTCAATATTTACATTGAATAATACTAGTAATAATAATTTCAAACTACAGTTTGTTTGGAGAAATGAGGACTTTATTAACAATTTTTGAATTTTGATTACGACGTCATTGCTCTCATTCATAAAAATACTTTAATATATTTTCTCGTTATTTAAGTCTTCGAATGAGGCCAAGAAGCAAGAACGGAGCACAAGCAAGGACAATGATTTATGAAAGCATATCACAAAATGACACATGAAAGAGAAGCACACAACAGAAAAGGCAAGGATACGTGTCAATGAACAGCAACCGGAGCAAGTTTACCCGAACAACAACCAAAAAGCATGTTTACATGAACAACGAACTCAATCAGCGCGAAACCAAGAACTGAGAAACACTTTCAAACCATCAACTAACTTACCAAAGCCTTCCTCTTCCTCTGTCAATGAAATAGATACCACTACACTAGACTTAAAGAGCACGAAGTGTCGGCTAAATGTTTAAAGAATCCAAATCCATATAGATGATGATTAAGGACCTAATTCTGTCTCCATTAGCCAACTCAATCATTTCTAATGTTTCTAGGTGTTGGCGGACTTAACAAGCAAAAATATAAGGACCCACTTCCAACAAATAAAATTATAGGGGTCTGATTTAAAACTGAAGCAAAATATAAAGCTTTGGAGATGTCTTTTCCCTGTATATAACCAGAGGAAAAAAAAAAAAGACTTTTTTTATTAATTTTAGTTTTAATCATATATTTCCATTTATACTTTCGAAGAAAGAAAAGGAAATTAAAATTAGACTTCCCTTCAGTGTTCAGGCGATGGACTTATCCCTCTCGCGAGGTCACAATATACCCTTCGAGTTTCTTCCGCAGTCCAAGCTACTTGGGGGCTCATCAAACCATTTTCATAAAGCGAGTCCTAGTTGATCGATGCACAAATGCTTAATCCTTCTCCCAAATCTTCTCAGAAACTCAGTGCTGAGAGGTCTCAGCCTGCGTGTCCATTGTCGAATTCATTCGCTTCAGAGTTGCTCCTCACCTCCTCATAATGGCGTAGACGATGAAGTTGAGCCTTCGGTTCCGGTGGAAATCTTCAAATCAGGTATCCAAGCGGGTTCTTACAAATTGGGCGATTCGAGTTTCTATTCACTCATTGAAAATTATGCGATTTCCTGCGATTTTAGGTCCCTGGACAGGGTCTTGGATCAAATGAAGCGTGAACGGAGAGTTTTCCTGGAAAGGAATTTCATTGTTATGTTTAAAGCTTGTGGGAAAGCGCATTTACCTGAAAAGGCGCTGGAGTTGTTTCATAGAATGGGGAAAGAATTTCAATGTAGGCATACTGTAAAATCATTCAACTGTGTTCTTAATGTCATTATTCAAGAGGGTCTGTTCACTCGTGCCATGGAGTTTTATTTTGATGTTTTTGCAACCAAGGGTTTGAACATACATCCAAATGTACTCACTTTCAACTTAGTTATCAAGGCCCTGTGTAAGCTGGGTTCAGTTGACAAGGCTATTGAAGTGTTCAGAGAAATGCCACTCAAGAATTGCACTCCGGATACATATACATACTGTACACTAATGGATGGGTTGTGCAAGGAGAGTAGAATCGAAGATGCCATTTCTCTACTGGATGAGATGCAAATTGAAGGTTGTTTCCCAAACCCCATCACATTTAATGTGTTGATTAATGCATTGTGCAAGAAGGGTGACTTAGCACGTGCAGCCAAGCTTGTTGATAACATGTGTCTTAAAGGCTGCGTCCCAAATGAGGCCACTTATAATGTCCTGGTTCATGGATTGTGTCTCAAAGGTAAGTTGAACAAGGCAGTTAGTCTAACGAGTCAAATGCTATCAAATAAATGTGTGCCTAATGATATTACTTATGGAACACTCATTAATGGGTTTGTTATGCAAGGCAGATCTGTTGATGGGGTTCATGTATTATCCTCAATGCAAGAAAGAGGTCACGGTGGGAATGAGCATATTTACTCATCCCTTATTAGTGGGTTGTTCAAGGAGGGAAAATCCGAGCTTGCAATGCAACTGTGGAGAGAAATGGAAGAAAAAGGATGCCAACCAAATATTGTCGTGTTCAGTGCTTTAATAGATGGTCTTTGCCGAGAAGGAAAGCCGGATGATGCAAGGGAAGTTTTATGTGAGATGAAGAGTAAAGGATGTGCACCCAATTCTTTTGCTTATAACTCCCTAATGAAGGGTTACTTTGAAAAAGGTGAAAGTCATAAAGCTATTCATGTGTGGAAAGAGATGGAAGATAACAATTGTAATCATAATAAAGTCTGTTACAGCATACTAGTTGATGGCTTGTGCAAGCAGGGGAAGCTTATGGAGGCCTTAATGGTGTGGAAGCAGGCTCTGAGTAGAGGAATTAAATTAGATGTTGTGGCTTACAGTTCAATGATTCATGGTTTTTGCAAAGCTCAGTTAGTAGAACAAGGCATGAAACTTTTCCAGCAGATGCTTTGTCAAGAATCTGAATCACAACCAGATGTGATTACATACAACATTCTCTTGGATGCTTTGTGCATGCAGAATAGCATCTCCCGTGCTATTGGTCTTTTAAATATTATGCTGGATCAGGGTTGTGACCCTGACTTAATTACATGCCATATTTTCTTGAGAACTCTGAGGGAGAAAGTAAACCCACCTCAAGATGGGAGAGAGTTTCTAGATGAGCTTGTAGTCCGGTTAGTTAAGCGACATAGAATAAAAGGTGCTTCCAAAATTATAGAATTGATGCTGCGTAAGTATTTGCTTCCAAAGGGTTCTACTTGGGCCATAGTTGTTCAAGAGCTTTGCAAACCTAAGAACATTCGAAAAGCTATTAACGAATGTTGGAGCAGGCTGTATTGCTGATTTTTTTTAGAGCCTTTGTTTCCAACTCTCTTGAAGCTTAGAGACTCCAAATCCAGTAATTTGTCAAGGTCAAAACTCTGTAAGTCTTCATACTTTTCAAAGGGAGATAGACAGCAGAGCTAGAAATTTCATTGTGCTTTCTTCTTAAATCTCACTTGTTTATTTGGTGATAGAAATTTTTTAGGGTCATCACCCTGTAAGCCTCTGTCTTAATCTCTACTCGTATTTTTTGATTACTATTAACTTTGAGACAAAGTGTTTGTAAAAATTTAGATTGTACTCCCTTTGTTAAAAAATATAAGACTTTTTTTGAGGGGTGGAGCGTGAAAAAATATGAGACATTTTTAATATTTCAAAGCGTAATTAATGTTTTTTGCCCAAAAATACCCTTAATAAATAAATAAATCATTTTATGTTTATTCTTAAGTGAAGCGCTCTATTAAATAAAGGTGAGTATGGAAAGATGGCATTAGTTTGAAGATAATTAACTAATTTATTTGGGGGGGGGGAGATTAGGTTTAAAATGCTTTATATTTTTCAATGCAGGGAGTCTTAAATATGCATTTGGATCATTTGATGTGCCTAGAAAAGAAATTGTTCCTTGGTAATTTATAAGTGACTTTCTGACTTTGTTGGCAATTATTAGAGATATTATAAAACCAGGTTAAGGTTTCATCTAACAGTTTAAGCTTTTGGGTTATCTTAATCCTTGATAGCAATGGTCTTTACACCACTATATCAAGTTAATTTCTCGATAATTGTTCATGATGATTTGATTTGAGACAGGTATTCTCTAATTGTGTGCATTTTTTGCCAGTACTCTTATAAACATCCATGCTAGGTCGTGTTTGCTGCCTGGTAACATTCAATGAAGAAGTTAAACCAAGAGAGAATACAGGTAAAATTTGAGATACTATAGGTTATCTTTTAGGATGATTAAAGTGTTCTGAAGTTTTGGCCAAAACAAAAAAAACGTGCAGAAGTTCTTTCTTTCTTTGTTTTTTTTTTCATGATACGCATCTTTGCTACATCATTTTTGTCGTCATCTTGCATGATTTCATGAAGCATGGTCATATTTTGTGATTCAATATTTGTGCTATTCCTCACACTTAAGCCCTAAGGCTTCTGAAGTTAGCGTTTGAAGTTTTTATTTATTAATGCTTCCTAATCTCTATTTTTGGAAAGCATGACTTTGTTTAAAATGTAGCTTCAGAAGCTAGAGCTATGGGTTCTCTTTCTGCTTGTGGACATAGTAGCTTATATCTGATGAATTTCCATTCTTACTGGCATCTGAATTCAGTAAAGTTGAGTAGTCATATCTGTCTAGATGGTGAATTTTCAATTGGTGTATCTTATTTCTTTCTTTCTGGGTTGAATAGATGAAATAAACAAAATTCTCAAAGAATTGATACCTGTCAATGTTTGAGACGCTACTATCGATTTATTTGCTTCTCATTGTTCAACTCTTACATTTTTATCGAGTGTCTTTTTTTAAAAATACAAATTCTTAGTTACTACTTCCAACAAGAACGTTCTTGCTCGATTTGTATGGAATTTTAGATCTGATAAAGGAAATTAAGGTACTGGATGAAACTACATCCATGTTTGGAGTGGTTCTGTAGTCGTCAAATTCTAATAACTTTTGGAATAAATATCAAGATAAGAAAGTTTTCTTCACCAGCAGTAAAGCTTCACTTTCATTGTAATATTAAGAGCTCTTATTTTATTATTATTATTATTTTTTTGGTTTCCTACTTATTGTTTGTCATTTTGCTCCTTAGGAACATTTATCACTATCTTGTAATTTGTGCTAACAATTTTTGCTATTAAGAAGCACCTATAGGTTGACTCTCACGTTGGACAGAGCTTGGAAAGAGTAGCCTTTTGTCAGATAAACTTCTTTAAATTTGCCGCTTGCAAAGTTGAATGTACTCTAAGGCATCAAATATGAACTTGCTTATATGTGGAGAGTGGATTATGGAGTACGCACAACTGACATTCCTCATTTCTAGCTTCGTAGTTTTCTTTACATCTCTGTCGGATTTGGCTAATGTATTTCCCTTGCCTGAAGATGCCTTCTGTGATAGTCTGATTTGCAATTATTCAAATGATCCTTTAGAAAGAAGTGGAGCAGAGTGTAAGGCGATCCTTAGACCAGATGAGAACAGCTAGGGAGGACGATACATTAACTCATGAAGCTTTAAACCAACTCTCCTTTCCATCATGGATTTCAAGGAGGACAATACCCAGGTATTTTTTAAGTCTTTGGTATCATGTTTATATTAATATCATTGCATCTGAATGAATTTTTTAAGTTGTCTATGTAGTACTGAGATGTAAAAAAGTGTTTATATGTTGAGCTCTTATTGGAAAACCCAATAACAAGGACTTTAAAACTGCATTTTAGTTTTGGACTTTCAAATAAAGTGTACTGATTTTCTAGGTCAATTTCAAGGAGATTATGATCCTGGGAGGATTATTTGATTGGATATGGAAAATTTATTGAAGAGGTGCTATTTGCATTCTCCATGTCTCTTCAACTGAAACACAAGACTCATGAAGCACAAGACTTAGTGTAGAATCTGCTTCTACCCGGTTTTATGAAGCACAAGACCTGGCATGTTTGTATAATGAAAATAAGAGAACAAAGCGGTTCCTGGGAAGGCTACCATGCATTTCACGGTATCTCCTATCCAAATAACTGATGCTTAATCGAAGTTGGATATTTTGGAAACATATTTATCTTATCCTCTGTGGCTCAAAGTTTGGCTAGCCGCTAGCCTTTACAGGTTCGCTTTGTAAGAATCTTGGAAAATCAGTTCATTCTATAGCAGAGCGAAATCCAGGAAATCAATCTGTGAAGATTTTGGCATTGACATTGTAAGATTCAAATATACCTATTGGAAAGCTATTAGATGTGATCTAATATTGAGAGCAGTGGATAATTGTTAAGAAATATTGTTTAATTTTTTTTTTTCCTAGAACATCCTCATAGCTAGCAGCTGTAAAACTAATTTTTTGAGAAATCTGAACATCATTAAAATGGTTGTCTTCTTCCATGTGTTGTGTATTAAATAGATTAAATAGAGTATATTTATTGTTTAGATTTGACAAGTATATTAGAAGATGACACTAAACTCACCAAATTATTTTGCTTGTTGCATTAGCGGAACTTCTTTGGTAAATTACTACTTAAAAGCTGAAGTATGATCTCCTATGTTTTGATTATGCCCAAGTGATTGCGAAGAATTGTGAAAATATTGATGAAAGAGTATTAAAAAAAAAAACCAACAAATGCAATGTGATTGTTTTAATTAATTCTCGTGGAATTTTGAACAAATTTATGAGGCTCAATGTGCAAGAACTAAGAATTAAATTCCTTCAGTTGATTTTTTTTGGTTTTATTAAATTGTTATATTTAAATCATCTAAATTTTATTTATTTTTTATTTTAAAAGAAGAAAAAAATAATTTTCTAATCATAATGAAAAAATAGCTTTGAAATGAAACTTCTTAAAATGAGAACTTTAAATTTACAATTCGAAGCTGCGTAAAATGAAAATTCTCCTCATTGATGTAACGTTTGATATGAAAAAAGAGTGAAATGTATCTTTTTATTTTATTTTATTTTATTTCCATTTTATTTTCTTTGTATAGCATTTTCTATTTCTTTTTCAGAAGTGCATCAAACATTACCGTCTCTCTTCAAATGGTGATAGATTCCTCTCAATACATTACTAGCCACATGCCCCTATCATGATTGAACATTACATGATTTTTTTTTTTTTTAAAGAAAAAACTTTGTTGACCCTTCTACATGGGCAACGGAGAAAGTGCACACTAAGGCATGGGAGAGTGGTCTCTTCCCCCCCCCCCCCAATTTTCCTCCATTGTCCCAATTCTCACCACTCAAATTATTTTATTAAATGATTTTTTTAATTATAAAATTAATGAATGGTGAGAATTGGGGAAATGGAGGAGGAAAAATTGAAAACTCCCTCCCCCTAAAGCACTCATTCAAACATGCCTGCATTGGGTTTGAACGTATACAGTGACACTAAGATAACTCACCATTAACAACAACATTAGATGTAGAACACCAACTTTTAGGAATTGTGAATCATTATCATTATCTAGATAAAATGATACATAACGTGCTACCAATGGAGGCTCAGCAGTTCCAGTTTCATCATCAGCAAATGAAGATTTTGCATTGAAACAGATCACATCTTAGCAGACATAGATTCCATCTCTCTCTCTCTCTCATTATTTCGTTTGACTTAAAAAGATATTGGTACATGCTTGCACAGTTCAAGCAGCTGCTTTATCAGCAGAAGAGACCTTTTGGAGGACATAAACAGGATCTCCCACTTTAAGTGTTTTCTCATTTCCTGCAATATAATAATCTTTCCACACCATATTTTGCCCAAAGTAGACCTGCACAAACAGTTCCACAATGTTATCTGATCTATTCAGTAAAATATCAATGATTCAGATCTCACTGACTGCATATCTCACCCTATTCTGCTGTTTCCCATTTGGCCTTAGGACTTTATCTGACCTGTGATGCTTCAGAGTCTCAGTTGGTTCATTTCCCGCAATCCCAGTCTCTTGATCGATCGTAGGCACCTAACCATCACTAACAGAAATCAGTCATTAATCATTATTTCTTATCAATAGTTTTCCAAGCAGATTTCAGATTGAACAATAGAATAAAATTATAACAGAAAATCCCATGATCTCCACCACTAAATATTATAAAATATAGAAGCTAAACCCGTAAGCAGAAATCATGAGCTACTTGTTCCCATGAAGCAATCATAGTCCTTCACCTTACAACGGGAGCACAGCTTCACTCCCTGAAATGAAAATTTGCCTATCTTGATCTCTGTCCACAAGTCCTCAGAAAACGGTTCACAGCCTTCAACAAGGATGCTTCATCATGCAATAATCAAGTACAAATTATCAGATTCGAAAGTCCATTTAGATCAACCCAGTACTCTACGGTTTGAAATAGTAGCTTAAGTTATAAAAGAGAAATTTTTTAGGGTCTATTTAGTCTTCACGTGTGCAAATAAAAAAGTCCTTAGATAAAATTCCAGGTGTTGTTTGGATTTGTATCTCCCTCAAAAAAGCCTGTTTCAGAAGTCCATCTCAAACTACCTAAAATGTGCTTTCACCCAACGGAAAATTTAGGAGCTTTTACAACATTCAATTTACCAAATTGACCTTTGAAAGAATATTTTCAAATATAAATTTCATTATAATGACTGATTTTTATTAAATTGATTCTTGCCAAATAGCTTTTGACAAACTAACTTTTTGCTAATAGAAAACCAAACAAGCACACAATTGTAGGAGTTAACCAAGATGCAAGAATGAAGTAATACTTAGGCCTAAATCTGTTAACAGGTATCGGCTCCTTGAGAAGATTGTTAAGTGCATCCATTGACCCCTGAAATGGATTAATGACAAATATGGAACAAAGGTCATAATTTTTTTTTTTTAAAAGGATGGCCTTGGCATCACTTTCTCAACTTGACTAACCTGAGATAACAACAAGAATGGGAAGCAATCAGCAAACATGGTATTATGCCCATTGGCATAATCAGGATCCACAACTCTAACTTCTGACTCTGCATTTGACAACAACACAAACAAAATGTTCATGATAATTACAAAAGGCTTTTAATATTACATAGAAGGCAATACATTCTTGTCCTATAATTGGTACTTGGCGTTAGTGTTTTCAATTTCCAACTCATTACTTTGCATGTTTAAATGCCTACCAGTATTGAATCGGACCAGTCGAGTGGGTTTTCCAAGGTAATCTGAGAACCATTTTGATGCTTCATCTCCCTCATCCAATGCAGAGCCAGACCATTCCCATACTGAGACACCATCTGCTACTCCATGTGGTCTACTCAGACAAATCTTGAGAGCTTCCATACCAGGTGCTTTTAACACTGTAACACCAAGAGAGCGGTACCTTATGTTCATGGACTACAAAGAAGAAGAAAAACGGTAACCTTAAATTGCACACTTAAGAAAAAGAACACTAGCCATTTAACACTTTCAATTCTTTGCCAGGAAGCATTTGTCACACGGAACTTGTACTGGATTGGAGCAGACATTTGTACTTCTAAAATTTATAATATAAATAATAATTGTCGTCCATTAAACCAAAAAAGCATTTAACTTTGCAATGGATGACTTGAATGGTGGTAGTCTCTGTGTGTGTGTGTGAGAGAGAGAGAGAGAGAGAGAGTCAGCTTCCTGGTTATTATAGGTTGCAGCATCCAGTGATTGATGCCAATCATGTAAAGGGGAAAAAAAATCCTATGTTGTCAGTTAAAAGAGCATATTCTGGATGAAGAAAACATATTTGGAAAATAAATGCAATTTTTTTAAATATATATATTTTATATATCACAAAGCATGAAGATAGCGCAAGAATTTACCCATATACGAGTTCTTTGTAGGTTTCCAGCCTTCAAGAAATGCCTCACTTGGCAGTTCAACTACCACTAAAGCAAGCTTTGGTTCAACTCTTTGAGTGCATGCCCTTCCCTTTGAGTTCACCACTAGCCATTGTCGATCCCATTGAAATCCTGTCAATTAGATTGACACAGAAAAGGGATTAAATTCATTAAGTACTCAATAACTTCTATTTGCTTCTTCTGCAGTGTATTTCATGGATTTCATACGCTTGATGAGTTTATGAATACGTTTGATAAACAATCTAATAAAGAAATTGCGAGATCATATGTTAACTCTCCAAATCAGTGGAGGGTACATCACCATAAATAATTCAAATGTATTTTTAAGAAAGGAACTCATGCAGGCATCTCGTTAGAAAATGTGGAAAACTCAGAGGATTCATGCCCTGAAATCTGATATTATTCAAATGAAACAACATTACACAAACAGGGAACAACTCAGTGAAGGTGGCAGCGAGGTCTGAAGCACTGAGAACCAAAGGGGGGGGGATAATTCAAAGAGTTATATAACAGAAAGCCGAGGGGAAATTGAAGAGAGAGAGAGAGAGAACAAAAAACTGTTCACATTATCTATAGCTAAAAAAAAAGGAAATGGCTGTTTAGGAACAACTAGCATATTACCATGATTACCAACAGCATAAAGGTAGAAAGGACAAAATAGTTCATTATAAAGACAGCTGTAGTTTCCAAATTATTTACAAGACATACTGTCATATGTCAACATATAAAGTTGAAAATCACATCATAGGATACAAGTACATGCTATCCTTTCCCACAATAACTGTAGAGGCAAAGAGGCAGCCAAAAGAATTTTGTTTCCTGAGATGAAAAATAAGGACTAAATGCTCAGGGGGTAAAATGCGGTGGTGACTTCCTTTGAATGATCAGTATCAGTATGACAAAAATAATATGACTTTTTGCTACCTCTTAACCAAAGCTTATACACACACGCTTTGTTCTATGCTTAGTCCAAAATATAAAGTATTGGATAGTTCTTATAATTTTGTCTAACTATACCCTCATTTATTATTTCTTTTGCAAAACAGTAAATTGGAATTATATTTGCCATTATTAAGGGATTATATAGTGTATAGATGAGGGTATAATTGAAAAGATATATAATTTTTTAAAAGATTAAGATTTCAACTAACAACTTTTAAGAACTGTGTAGTTACTAATGTCTTTGTACTGTGGACCAGAGGGAATATTATAATCAAACAGAAGTGTGTTTCATCTATGGTGCTGTTTCCAGCAGACTCGGTTAGAACAATTTCTGCCCAGCGATGTAAAAAACTTTATATGCGCAGAGATTTTAACTTTCAAATTTTGGAATCAAGATATTAATATGCAACTTGACGCAGCTGGCCATATTTAAGAATCCAAGAACAAGGAACTAAATGGCTTTGATCAAAACCTAGTATTTGCACATCCAGGGATTTCTTCCTTAATGAACAAAAGAAAATCGACTAACAAAAGGACGGGGTATAAAACATTGACCTCTAACATTGCAGATAACTTCAGAAAATATATAAAATGTTTATTGAGATTTCCGAAGCCATGGTTATACATCTGCGTCTTTAAGCATGCCTTAAATGTCTAATATGCCATTATGATGGACAGACAGAGGTCACAGCCATAAACCTCTTTCAGCTATCCTTCAGGTGAGTGAAACAAGAAAATGATCACCAAGCACACCATAAGAAACCAATAAAAGCGATAAGTAATCGTGAATTTGACAGAATGTTTACGGCAAATCAAAGCTTCAAGTATTATACATACATACATACATACATATATATATAAAGCATTAAAGAGTCAAGAATAGGGAGATGGGTATTTCTGAACTTTTTTTTTTACCAGTAGGCGTGAGAGGGGCTTGAGGAACTGAAATCCCACGGCATGACTTGATAGGGTATATGAAAATCGATGACACCTTGACTGCTGTTTCCGATGACGTCGTCCCTTCCATCCTCGCTCACTTTGTGTGTGTTGTGTGTGTGTGTCTGTGTTTCCCCCTCCGGTGATAGAAATAGAACACAAGAGGCAGACAACCAAATTAGTTTGTTACTTAATATACCTGTGTGCTGGTGAGAGAGAGAGAGAGAGAGAGAGAGAGAGGCCATTTTAAGAGGGGAATGAGGAGTAAAGCAAGTAAGTTGAAAGTCGAAACCACGTGATTTTGGAGAACTAGAACTAGAATGAGAAAGGAAGAATCGAGCGCCTTTTTTCTTTTTTCTTTTTTCACACTAAATATCCATGGTTGAGAAATTTAAGTAATAAAAGCTTTCCTCTTTTTTAAATATACTAGTAAGTCAAATTTAATTATTTAAATATCATCACGCCTGATTAGAAATACTTTTTTCCAAATTTTTTTTATGCATTTACACAATAAGCTTCACTGGAATCAATACCAGTTAGTACTAATACTATTTAAAAGATAGAGGTGATTTTGTGATATAAAATATTTTTTCTTTTAAATTAGGGAAAACACAATAGTTAAATTTTATTTAGTAATATTTATTACTCAGGTCTAAATAATTTCAATATTTTTAATCTCTATAAAAATTAAAAATACCAAAAAAAACAGAAGAACTAAAAGTGAAATCTAATAAAATTATATTAATAATTATGTTTTTTTAAAAATCAGATATAATAAAAATATAAGTACCCATAATTTGATTCGATAAAAGGGAGACCCTACATGTGTGCGTATACTTACCGTTGCTGAAGAGGAAAATATGCAACCATGGTTTCCACATTCTTCATCCAAAACATTACATCAATGCTTGACGCTCCCACTTCCCCGTCAATATTTTTTTCCACTGAGTTTTATTTTATTTTATTTATTTCTTTTCACGAACTTATCTTCTTTTGCTTCCTTTTTCAACGCCGCCTCTTTGGCTGAACTTATCAACAAGATATTCTCTCTATAGAGTCCAGACAGATACATGTAATGTGGACATGAGTGGGTGCGATTAAAAATGGCAAAGAAAGAGTTTTTTTTTTTTTTAATGGATACACGACGGCTGGCTAGGAGCTAAAAAGGAAAACAGTCAAAACCAAAACAAACAAGTAAAATTAAGTGGGATGCAACCCATTAAAGTCTTGTAGAATTAAAGGAACACACTCCTCAAGAGATTCTTGTAGGAGCCGCAATAAAGCCGTCAATTAGGGTCGAGCTTGTAGGATCAGCTCTTTTAGGCCCGAAAAAATTGAGGACCGAACTTTTATTTTACCTTTAAAAAGGTAAATCGGGCCCTTTTAGGCCCGAAAATAAAAGGGCCGGCTCTTTTAGGCCCGTTTATAATTTTTTTTTAAATTATAATATAAAAAAATAAAAGATTAAATACATAACTCAAAGAAATGAACATATTAAATGCATTCATCCATCCATTATTTATTTATTAAGATTTAGCTGATAATATTAACTAAGTTTAATTTTTATTGGTATTCACTTTGATGTTACTATTTGATATTAGACCTAAATATTTTAGTTTTCTTTATTATTGTGGTGTAAATTGATTTAAATTTATTTTTTTAAACTTAATTTTATGAATAATAACTTTTTTTATGATTATAAATATATTTTTTATAATTTTTAATTGAAAAAATAATTTTAAAAAAATAGGGCCGAAGCCCTGAGGGCCGGCCCTTTAGCCCTGAGGGCTAGGGCCGAGCCTTAAAAAATGAAACCCTGACATGCAATCGGGTTTATTAGGGCCTAAAACGGAACCCTAACATGCAATCGGGCTTATTAGGGCCAGCCTGTTTAGGCCCTGACCCTTCAAGGGCCGACCCTAATTGACAACTCTAGTCGCAACATCCTAGTAGAGTTTTGCTCTAGTTTAGCAAGAATATCAGCACACAAATCTGTTTCTCGTGGGACATAATTTTGGATGCCTGAATGTTCACAAATGGCATTTTAGACTTCTGAAATCTCCTCAAAGAAAAGGTGGTCTATTGATACTCCTCTACAAATAAGATTTAACGCCTCTAATGAATCAGACAAAATCCATGCTTTTCGGGTTGCAATATTCTTACTTAATTCAACTCCACCTCTAGTAGCTTTAACATCCGCCATTGCAGTAGATAAGTTTGCCATGTTGTACACAAACCCTTGTACCCACTCACCTCTGGAGTTTCCAACTAAACCCCCACATGCTGTATTATTTTGCATGCTCTTAGAAGCGTCCACACGAATCTAGGTTTCACTTTGTGTTGATGTAAGCCAATACTGAGCAAAAGTAGTACCCCGGTCTTGCCAGCGAAGGTTGATATTTGCCAAATCACGTTCCTCCATCAATATCCTTCTATAGGCTTAAATGATACTACTCGTGTTGTATTGTTTGCCTTTGAAAATTTCCTTACATCGCGTTGTCCATAATAGCTAGCATAAACGTCCAAACACTTTGATGCATGGCCACTTTTTGAAAAGATTTCCTCCAACTTGATGTGAGGAGTTCTACTTGATCCATACTTGTAAATTACAAGAGAAGAAAATGTTACGAAAAATAGGATTTATAAGCCTCTCCCAAAGCAGTTTGGCTCTTCCACAGTCTCTCAAAATGTGTAACACTCTCCTCACTCTCACACTCAAATGGACAATTTGCATTAAAGTTAAACCTTGCTCTGCTCTTAAAAGGTTACAAGGCAATCTCTCATGCAAAGCCCACTAGAGGAAGAATTTCAATTATTTTTTTTGGGTAAAGGCCATTTCCATAAACATTTCCACATTAGACTAGATCTGTTTGATGCTCTAACCTTGAGGAATCGGTTGGCAGAACAGACAGAGAATCTGCCATTGCTTGCTGTTTTCCACCAGAACAGATCATTCTCGCCATCAATAGTAGGCTTGACGGTCATGATTTTCTCTACAATATCATTTGAGAAATAGTTTAGCAGATGCTGCCTATTCTATTGTCCAGATTGATGAAGGAAATCATGGACTTTTGCTTGAGGATCAATAGGGTGATCAAACTTGGATATATATCCAATCAGAGGCTATTCTAAAGGAGCCTAGTGGTCCCACCAGAAGCTAGTCGTAACTCCGTTCTTTATTTTCTTGCTAACTCACTGCATAAAATTTTCCCATAAGGTGGAGATGCTATTCCAGATATGAGAATCATTTCTCTTTTTGGTCACTATTGGTAGAGGTCCATGTCCACACTTGTATCTAGCTTTAAGGCATTAAACCCAGAGACAATTTTGTCTGCAAAGAAGGCTCCAATAAAGTTTCATGAGGAAAGCTTTATTTTGAAGCTGAAGATCTTTAATACCCAGCCCCCCAGAATTCTTGTTGCCTTTGACAGTCTCCCACAATATTAGATGCATTTTCCTTTGAACTTGTCTGTTGGTCTAGAGAAAACCCTTGCTTTTCTTTTCAACTTCTCCCAAAACACCTTTAGGTATGAGCATCGTCTACATGAAGTAAGAAGGAAGGGCCGATATAACAGACTTAATCAAGACCGTCCTACCTGTCATGTTAAGAAAGTTGCTCTTCCAGGAGGATAGTCATTGTCGAACCTTCTGGGTAAGGGTAAAAAACATATATTCTTGCTGATTCTTTTGTGCAAAAGCGAAACTCCCAAGTATCTTCCAAGATCTACAATGAGCAAAAGGGCAGAGAAAGACTTAAAAAATGAAGTTGTTGAACAGATTTTTTAGTTAATGATATTATTTAAATTTTGGTTGATGATAGAACATAATAGTGTTATGTAATTTATATAACTGATCACTTGTGGGATGAAGCTCTTATTATTATATATATCTTTTCTCAATGAAGTTCATTTTTCTGTTTTACTATATTTTTTTCTCTCAGAAATATTTAACAATTTGTTGATATTTCAATTGGATATAGTTTCAGGTCAATACTTATCTATCATTCACCGTACACACACACACACACATAAAACATTCAAGTTCAATGGCAATATGAAAATGAAAAAAATGACAATTAAAGATTCCATAAAATCATAAATTATAATCAAGGATTTTAAAGTATTGAAATTCTAATAATGAACCATGGTCCTTATTTAAAATTAAAAATTAAAAATGTGAGTTTAAAATCAAGAAAATATACTAATGAAATTATTATTATGGATTGATACTATTGTTAATCTCAATTAAAAAAAATTAAAATCTACACCTGGGACTAGGATTAATAATTATCCCAACCCATAATAATAATTTCAGTAGTCCCAACCATAACACTTGGGATCTTGATTTTTTTAATTAAGATTAACAATAGTCTCAACTCATGATAATAATTTTAATAATGTCTTTTCTTGATTTTTCAAATGGTTTATCTATATATTGACAAGAATAAAAATTCACAAGTAACTGGCTTCATTTTTAGAAATGACTTAAATTTTCAAGTGATAATCATATATTCATAGGTGCCTTTTGAAAGTTTCACAAATAAATTTTAGTTTCATAATAAGAAATAATTCATTTTCAAGTATGGTTCCTAATTTTTCTAACTAATATTAATAATAATCTTAACTCACAATAATAATTTTTGTTGTGTCTTTTCTTGATTTTAAACTCATATTTTTAATTTCAAGTAAGGATCATGGTTCATTATTGAGATTTCAATAATTCAATATCCCTAATTATAATTTATGGTTTTATGGTGTCTGTAATTGTCACTTTCCCTATTAAAATTAGTACAATACACTCACTTTGTTTCCATACTAAAGAGATATATGTGTGTGTAATAAGAGCCGATAATTTGGGTCAAGTCTGATAGGCTTACCTGAGCTCAAAAAAATTAAGGTTGGATTTAATAAAATAATAATTTTAAAATATTTAGACTTATTTGGGTTGAGCCCAAAAAAATTAAACTTGATTAGATTCGGGCTTTACTTGAATAAAATATATGTATATATATGATATAATATAATAAATATTAATTAATTTTTTAAGTTTTAAATTATTTTATATTAAAATATCATATATTTGAGTCTATTAGTGTAGATATTTTTTAGAAATTAAAAAAAATATTTATATTCTCATATTTATATTGTTTTTAATTTATAAACCATCTTAAGATAATATTTAAAATGTATTTCAATGTTTTTAAGACCCACATTTTTTTTAAAAAAAATTGAATCTAATATATCATTTAAGTATCCAAAAAAATTTATTTTATATTTTTATAAAATAAAAATAATTAATATTAAAAAATTAAATTACAATTAATTTTAAAAATATAAATATGAGTATTTGAGTCACTTAAAGTCCCAATGAATTCACGGCATATTTAACTATTTGAATTTTTCAAGAAATTTGGGCATATTCAGGCCAAGCCAAATAAGCTTGGCCCACCTAAATTATCAGCTTATAACAACACTAATAAGTTTTGTTTCAATAAATAGAGTTGACTATATAAATTGCACAATGATATTGCATTCTATCAACAATAAAATCTTTAAAAATATTGTTAATAAAAAGATCTATTTTAATAATTTCATTTTGTATTCTTTTTTGTTTCCTCTTCCTTTTTTATATGATTCAAAAATGTCTATTCATCTTTTTTTTTTTCAATTTTCACCAACTTTTTTTAAACATATTTAGACTATCTTGAATAATTTTTAATTATTTTTTCCACAATCGATATTGTACCAACTCTTTCTTGTTTGCGATCATTACAAATTTTATTTTATTTTTTTATGTATATTCTCTCATTAACCTCAACATCCTTATTTCTATTGTCCTAATTTTATGTTTTTATTGTTTTTTTAAAATATAACATTCATTATCATATAGCATTGCTAATCTTATAGCTATATGATAATACTTCCCAATAACCTTCGAACTTACACGGACATTTTTATCAATGTACCTTCTAACATGTAAGTTTATTTAAAACATGCAATTAAAATGCATTCATCTCTCTGTTATTAATCAGATAATTGATTTATCTAATATTTTGTAGAATCAATCCATCTAATCAGCAAATTCTCAAATCTGGAATGTCGAATGGTTTCGACGTAAGAATTCATCATTCACCCTTCCACTAAATGAAAAGGCATTCAATCACAATGCCAACACTATATTACCCTCTTTTGTTTTCTTTCTCTCTAGTCCAAGTCCTATATAGAGAGAGAGAGAGAGAGCATTCATAAACACAACTTCAGTCAGTTTTTTAGATAATGGAGACCACTAGTGAACAGCACTTGTTTGCTTAATTTGTGTCTACCTAACCTAGCTCTAGCTTTAATTTGCTCTTGGGAGAGAATAGGTACAGATTAATTAATTTGAGCATATCTTAGACTCAATCACTCTGGTAATACTGCCGACATGAGGTCAATTAATTTGTTTGTGTTTTTCAATATGTGTGTGTGTGTGTGTTCAAGAAATGAATTTTATGATTTAAGTTTTCCCCTTTGATCTCTTCCATATTCATTTACCTGCCCCATTTTCCTCTCAACTCTTATGTCCATTATTCAAATTAGACAATATATCTTCTGTAATATTCCAGTGCTTCCCCTGGGCTCTGTTTCTTTTTTTCCTCATGCCATTATGTTTGATTTCAATTTCAATTGTGATCATCCCTGAGAATCTTCCAAAATGCCTTCTCATTAATTGCCTCATCATTTTACCCTAGGAATATCAGGAAGTATGGAGCTCAATGGATATTAACACAGACATGAGCATACCATGCAGACAAAAAAGCATCAATTTAAGCTGATATTAGCAATAACTAAAAGCCCAAGTAATAATTCCATTAGTGTAGTTCTAGGAAAATTTCAGAAAGTTCAAACTTGTAAATTTTAGTATTCACGGGTATCCAATCATCTTCCCATGAAAATTTATTATGATCTGCTATAATCCCAATACATATATAATTAATCATAATTTTGTAGAAGACCTGTTCTTGATCTTGGCCTGTTATTTTTCAGGTTTAGTAGCTACCGGTAGTATGTGGAACAGCTGCTGCATACTGCCTGTCTAAAACCTCAATCACCTTGTTGGCTATGGCGCTTGCATACACTGAAGAACCTTCACATATCTGCATCAGAGAAATTCACAAGTCAAATTTGAATATACTATCACATTATGGTAATTCTGTCTACCTATTTTATTACTTTCCTGATAAAAAAAATAAAAAATTGAGACAACATATGCAAGCAAATTAGAATAAACCTTTTGTTCATGGGAGAAGAATAGTCTATAATTGATTGCCCAGATAGTTTACCTTGCTATTGAACAAGAAACTGCAGTATTCACCAACATGTCCACCTGCAACATGGTGAAGATCCAGCTGGAGTTCATCCAGAACCCTGGAGACAAACAGCAAGCAGCTGATCTTCTTCCTCTGAACGAGCTTGATAGTGACTTCATCATCGATGATCCTGACGTCGACCTCAGTGTCTTTGGACTTCCTCTGAAGCCACGAGGTCCTTATGCATCCCTCTGGATGATCACCATAGGGCTTCATGTTACAGCTCTCTCCAGCATCATCTTCACCTTTGTGCCTCTTGCACCTGTCCATTCCAAATCTTTTCTTCTCCACCAACAATTTCAACTCATTCACTGTTCTCATCAGTTCTTTTATATATTTAATCGCGTCTCCCACAACAGATGCCCTGTCCATCTGAATAGTAAAAAACAGTAACACCAGAGTCAAACACAATCCGCAAGCCTGGTTCATGATTTAAAAAAAAGAGAGAGAGATAAGAGCTAAGGAATCAAAATGGCGGGGTTTTTGTGGGGTTTTTCTTTTTTTCTTTTGGCCCGGCGCTGCATCACATCGCAGATGTTCAATCCACCTGAATAGCGAAAGATAAATGACACCAGAACCGATCCCAACCCAAGATTGATTCGTGGGAAAAAAAGGTACGAGTCATTAGGGAGTTAAGTGGATGCTGCATATATGAATGTAACGCGCGCGCGCGCGCGCACCTTGGTAGGGCTTGGGATCAAACTCCTCAAGACATTGTATTTGCCATTCAATTGCTCTCTTCTTTGTTTCTCAGTGGCAAAATGCTTGGTGCCTTTTCCTTGTCTTCCTTTGCTGACACGGGCAGTCCCTCTGTCGAATTCCAGAACTCCATTGTCAAGCTGGCTTCCATCTCCATCCTGATACACAATCCCATTCCCCTCTATCTCATCCCCTCCACCAAAAAGAGAACCATTTCTGGAACTAGTTGGCAAGCTATAGCCCCGAGGAAGAGACTGAAAGAGCTCCCTTAGCGCTAGAGGCTGCGGAGGCAGATTCAAATGAAGCAGAGGATCATACAAGACAGAGCACGCGCTTGCGCTATCTGATCCTATAGGAATGTCACCGAGAAATCCCATGGAATTTGGGATATTGGGTATCTTCTGGGATGGGTTGAAATGGAGGAGGTCGAGGAGATTAGAAGGAGGGTAAGGAGGAGGAGGGTCAAGTATGGAAGAAGAATTGTAGCTTTGGGTTTCAATTTGCTGAAATTGTTGGGGTTGCTGTTGTTCATGGTGGTGGTTAGAATAACCCACATCCTGCAACTCTTGAACTTTAGGGTCCCAAGTGGATTGGTCATAAGAGAGAGCATCAATGACTTGATGAACCAAATTCTCGTTGTTGTACGAGTTTTCTACGTTCAGAACAAGATGTTGAGGGTGCGAGATGTCCAATGGTGCGGCGGCGACGCCGTTAGCAAAGGCCGATACGTTTTCTGGGTGCGGCGGTGGATGATTCTGGTGCTGGTGATGATGATAGGAGAGCTCCTCCACCGTTAGCCTGAGGTTTTCTTCCAAGCCATTGTTATTGCTTGTAAGGTTGCCGGCAGCCATGAGCGGCGGCGCGTCGGGAATGCTGTCTTTTAGCGAGACAGTGCCATCTACTATTGCGCTTGGATCAAAGGATGATGAATGCTCATACATTTCTGGTTGATTTGTCTACTCCTGCACTTGTTCGGGTAAACATAAATTGAAAGATCCAATAATGCACACACCATATATATGAACTCCAAAATATTACGATGGATAAGAAAATGATCAAGAAGAACACCAAATCTCTGAGCTCAAAGCTGTCACTAGAATAAATACCTTTATTATATCATTGAAGATGAGATGAACTCCAATATTTGATTTCAAGTTTGTGTCTCTCAAATCAAGTCAAGGTATAAGAGAGAGAAAATACTGAACCTTTCGCAAGCTAACAAATTCTTTCAAACGAGTTATCGGTAATTAATTTGCTTCTACCATAATACGGAGATCAAAAGATAATATTTAAATGCAAAACTAAGAAAAAAACAAATTGGCGCACGCAACAAGATTATTCCAAAGAGAGGAAGTGATCGCAGAACTTAATGCACCGAAACATAGAAGAATACATACACTCCTAATCAAGGATCTATTCCACTGACCCATTTTAGTTTTTTCATTATCATTGCAGAACTACAATTCAGAGATCAAAAGGTATACTATAGACATAAAAGCAAGACGTGCTAAAACACAGCAAACTACTCGCATCGCAATAGCTCATTGTATAAGAACTTCAAGAATATATGAAACACAAATATTCAAACCCTCGTACTTAATGTCGAACTCTCCGATTAATGCTGCTTCTACGAGAGATGAATTGCGTCAATCTCCGTGCTTGCTTTTGAAAGTCTCTGCATATAATTTATATACACGATTGCACAAAAAACATAGAAATTGAAAGCTGATAGGGGGGAATTGAAGTTTTTTTTGTTTTTGAAAAAAAAAAAGGATGAAGGTTGATCACGCAGAACGTGATAGTGCATGAAAAAGCGGGGTAGTTAAAGTGCTCAACATTTTTATCAACGTCCCATGTGGTCCCCAAACAAATTCTTCTCATGCATTTTGGTATGCTTCACTGATGCATCTTTTAAACTTAATTCATTCATCTAAATGTATTTTTTTTTATCATATAAAGTTATCATTTAAAGATAATCAAGTTCGAGATCAAACATCAAATATAAATATCTCTCTTCTAATAAGAACTCACTTAACTATATTTTTGCCATGTAAAGAGGTATATACATTTAATAAAGAGTGAGTCATGGCAATAATTGGGACAAGTGACAAATAATAAATATCATTAAATGAGATTTTGGATTCAGTGAAAGAAAACCAAATGTTAGAAGATTTTCTTTTTTTTTCTATTTCAGGTTTAATATATCTCGAATCAAGACTATCTTATAATAGGATTAGAAATTAAATGGTTCTCACAAAAAAAAAAATTAGAAAAAAATGGGCAGAAATATTAATTAGTGAATATGAATATCATATATTTTACATTTTGGTATTATTAGTAATTAAGAACAATTTTCAGGTATCATTCTCGGGAAATATTTTTTTAAAAATGGTAATTAATATCAATTGTATTAGTATTTTTACATATATATGTATATGTGGGTGTAGCTTCTTTTTTTGTTACACATATTAAAATTTCACTAAACTCATTTTCTTCTGCTTCCCAAGACTACAAATCACCTGTGAAGAATCACCTTATATGCCTCATTTTCCCATAGTCACTGATCCAACAATGATAATTAAACTTAAAATAAGATCATTATTAACAACTTATGCTCTAGATTCACTTTAGAGAATTATTTCTGAAGAAGGGGCATTTTGGGACATGTGATTATGCGAAGTGGTCCTTGTTCACCACAGTCAGTTTCATTCATGGTTGAGTGTCATTGTCCCAAAACTTAATCTGACTTGCTGACCAATATGTGACTAAAAATTGTATTTGAAAATTTGTTAAGAATCAAATTAGTGATTTTTGCCACACAAAAGATTGCAACCTTTTAGACACATTTTAATTTAAAGATCTTTGTCAATCCTTTGCCCAGCAAGTTACTCAAAGAAATCGGTCAAATCTATCCCACCACTTTTGGAGAATCAACTCGGGCATCAGCATATTTTAAATTTTTTCCACTAATTTTGTATTTTTGATTGATTATCAATAAGCAATAAAAAAAATTTAATGGCAAACATTTAAAATATTTTTTTGAAACAAAAGTAGAGTTGTGAGAATTGAATTTTCCATAACAGGCCCATCACCTAGCCTAATAAGCCCATGGTCCAATCCAAACTGAATTAACATGTTTTTCTAAAATAGTTGATAAATGTTTGGTCTATGATATTGTAAATCAAGGTTTGAATTTTCATTAAAAGAAATATTTACATTTAGCACTTAACAGTACATATTTTAAATAAGATTATTTCTAATAAAAAAAATACTTATGGGTAGCAAAAAAAGAAAAGAAAAGCTAATGATAGTTTTTACTTTTAAATTTTCTGAAAAATATTTCATGTATGCATATCCAAACACTAACATAAAATTAAATGAATGCAATAATTCACGTTATTTTAATTATTAAATAATTTATAACAAGGTTTTTATTTTTTAAGTGAGAAACATGATTTTTTTTAATGATAAAAAGTTAGGTGTGTTGCATCTTAATGACTCGCCAAAGACAATGTCAACAGGATTTAAATTCATAATTTTATAAATTATGAGTCAAATTTTATCAATCACATCAATTTTTTTTATCACGAAACATGATATTTCTTTTCAAGCTAAAATTCATGCAAAATAACTTAGAATTACATAAAAATAACTGCTTCATTAAATCATTGATAGTATTAAATTGTTTTACTTCCTCTGTTAAAAAATATAAAGTATTTTTTAAGAAGTTAAATATTTAAAAATGTAAGATATTTTTAGTTTTTCAAAGTAAAATCATTGTCTTTTTTTTAAAGTGCCCATATTAATAAATATTTTTATATTTATTGTAAAGTATTTAATATGGGTGAATATGGAAAGACTGAATTAATTGAAAAATAGATAACTACTTTATTAACAAATAACATTTGATTAAAAATATCTTGTATTTTTAAACAGAGAGAGTAATATTTTTTTTTGTTAGGATGATTTTTTTCAATCTCATTGGTAAATTTAAATCATATTATCATGTCACATTTCGAAATGATATATTTTTAGAAGATGCATATATATTGTATGCTTTCTCTTGTAAAGATGCAAATGGTTCAAAATTTGTTCTTTTCTAATTGAAAATTTGAAATTGAAATTAAAAGTTATTTTTTATTTTATATGTTTTTCTTTAAAAACGTAAAATTCGATAATAAAAAAACCAACTCAAACTAACCAACTTAAATTTTATAATGTTAATAAAAACGTCACATGTAGACATATATATCGAGAGTTGAGATTTATCCTTGTTAGACGCAATACATGCATGCTGTTATGGTCTTTGTACTTTGACTTTCTAGATCAATCATAAAACGATACAAATGGTGTCAATATTCGGTTATCCAAAGTGGCACTGAAAAACACTAGCATATTTGCTGACCTTATTTTCTTCCTTCGACCATTCCCACCAAAGGGCAGCCCAAACTCTAAAACTTTTCTTTATTCTTTAGACCATCTAGTACTTTGATCTGTCCCTTTTCTACTCTTCACTTTTCTAAAGCTAGAAGTTACATAGAAATGGCTGTCCCAAACGCTTCATCAAATCAAGGATACTATAAAATTGATATAATATTTTAATTTATAACATTATCTACCCATAAAACTAGAAATTAAAATGAACAACTATTTTTTATGTTATATATATATATATATATATAGTTCTTAAAAACCTTAAAATTCAATGAAAAATCAAAACCAAAAAATCTAGCTAATTTAAATTTTATAATGTTAACAAAAACCGGATATATAGTGTCGAGATTCCTTCTTGTCAAACAATACATGAATGAGGGTTACGTTATGTGTATCACTAATTTTTAAGGTCAGTCATAAAACGCTAAAAATCATGTTACTATTAAGTTATCTAACGTGGCATTGAAAACTTTGACTGATTTCCTTATCTTGTTTCTTTCCTTTCAATGGTCCCCACTAAGATCTAACTCCAAACTCCAGAACCTCCCTTCATTTTTTAGAGATCATCTAGTCTAGTACTTTAATCTAAAAAACCAAATATCCCTTTTCTATTCTTCACTTCTCTAAAACTAAAAATTACACAGAAATGGCTGCCTCAAACGCTTCATTAAATCACTGATAGTGTAAAATTGTTTTAATATTTTAATTTATAACATTATTTACCCATAAAATTTGAAATTAAAATTAACAATATTTTTTATTTTATATATTATTCTTAAAAAACTTAAAATTCAATAAAAAAATTCAAACTCCAAACAATCTTACTTAAATTTTATGATGTTAACAAAAACAGGTATAGATCCATATCTCGTGAGTTGACATTCATCCTTGTCAGATGTAGTGCACGCACGGGATTCTAGTCTTTTATCTTTTACTTTTAGGTAAATCATAAAACAATAAAAATTATGTCAATATTGAGTTTTCCGACGTGGCATTGAAAACTTTGACCTATTTTCTCGTTTTGTTTCTTTCTTTTGATTATTCCCATTAAAGTATAACCCCAAATTCCATAACCTTGTTCTATTCTTTAGAGACAAATATAGTAATTCGATCAAAAATCTAACTACTCATTCTCTATTCTTTACCTCTCTAAAACTCTAAATTACATAGAAATTAATGGCTGCTCCAAACACTTCATTGAATTTGGATAGTGTACGATTTATTTTAGTTTATAACGTTATTATTTACCCATAAAATTTGAAATTATTAACAATTATTTTTATTTTATATATTGTTCTTAGAAACATTGTTATTAAACTCACAACTCTAACTCGTTTCACTAGTCAACTTTACGATTTTGCAACCAGTTTTCGTGTCAAGTCACTGGTAAAATCACTGATGATGCTGACTCAATCAAACTCACGCGAGAAAATATAATAAACTCGTCTGAATCATGCTTTCTCACTGCTTGAGAACGAGTTTAAATTGGTTCCAACATTTACAATAATTATTAGCTAGCTGACCTGTAAAGCATCTTCAACAATTTTTATTGTTTTTTATATATGATAATAACAGATGTAATGACCATAAATAAATAAGAGGAAAAAACAAAATTCCAAAAAGATATAAGCAAATGTCTTATAAAAAATTATAGTAAATAAATTCAAAGTTCAATTATAATATACAAGTAAAGATACATTTTTACAAAATTTTGGTGTTAATTATAAGTGATTATAAAAGATCAATAATTTTTAAATTAATATGATTTGAATATTAAAAAAACATTTTTAAATCACCTAAGGTTAGAACAGCTGATAAAAATGGGAACGGATATGATTAGATTAGAGTAAATTTTCTTGATATAGTAAAAAATATTTACTATATATATATATATATTAATAAAATACATATATATTTTATTCCATTTTTTATCATTTGAACTATCTTAAAATAATTTTTATGATACCTATTGATAATAGTAAACTCATAAAATAATTTTCGAATTTACTATATGAGTTTATCTTATGATTACGAATTTACTCAAAATCACAAGTTTGATAACCTTACTTAGAAAACTTAAAATTCAATAAAAAAATCTAAACACAAACAATCTAATTTAAATTTTTAATTTTATAACGTGAACAAATACTATGTATATAGTCATATCTTTGGAATTGAGATTCATTATTCTCAGACGTAATACATGCACGAGGTTCTAATTTCTTTATCTTTGAATTTTTAGGTAAATCATATAAAACGATAAAAATCTTTTCAATATTTAGTTTTCTAATGTGACATCGAAAAATTTGACCTATTTCCTTGTCTTGTTTCCTTTCTTTTGATTATTCCCACGAAAATGTAATCCCAAGTTTTCCATTTAACCTTGCTTTATGACAATCATAATAATTCGATCTAAAATTTAAATACTCATTTTTCATTCTTCACTTCTCTAAAGCTTTAAATTACATATAAATGGCTGCTTCAAACTCTTTATTAAATCATGAATAGTAAAAAATTAATTTAATATTTTAATTTATAACATTATATATATTATTCTTAAAAATTTTAAAATTCAGTAAAAAAAAAATCGAAACTCAAACAATCTAATTTAAATTTTATAACATTAACAAAAACTAGGTATATCTCGGGGTTCGAGATTCATCCTCGTCAGATTAATACATAACAGGGCCCCAGTCTCTGCATCTTTGACTTTTTATGTAAATCATAAAACGACAAAAATCTTGTTAATATTCGGTTATCCAACTGGGCATCGAAAACTTTGACCGATTTCCTCCTCTTGTTTCCTTCCTCTGATTATCCCCTCCAAAGTGAATCCCAAATTCTATAACCTCACTTTATTCTTTACAAACAATCATAGTAATTCCACCTAAAATCTAAAATACCCTTTTCTATTCTTCGCTTCTCTTAAAATTAGATAGAAATAGCTGCCCCTGACGCTTCATTAAATTATGGATAGTATAAAATTGATTTATTATTTTAATTTATAGCATTATTTACCCATAAAATTTGAAAGTAAAATTAACAATTATTTTTTTATATGTTGTTCTTAAAAAGAATTAAATCTCAATAAAAGAAATCCTAACTGAAACAATCTAATCTGAATTTTATAATGCGCACATAAATTAGGCATATAGACATATCTCGAGAGTCGAGATTCATCCTGGTTAGACGTAATACATGCACCGGACTCTGGTCTCTATATCTTTGACTTTTTAGGTAAATCATAAAATGGCAAAAAAAAAAAAAATCAATCTTCGGTTATCTAACGTGGCATCGAATGCTTTGACCCGGCTTTTTTGTCCCTCGATAATTCCCACCAAAGTATAACCCCAGACTCCAGTAATTCAATTTAAAAGCCCACTGCCTCTTTTCTTTTCTTTTTTTCTTTTTACTTCTCAAAAGCTTAAAGTTACATATATAGAAATGACTACCTCAAACGGTTCAATTTTCATTTACAATGGTCTTTCGTGTATGGTTATTTATATATACATACATACATATATATATATATATATATAGAGTCTAAACCCAATATATATCCTCCTTTTTTCTGCATCCATTTACCCCTTTTTCTCTCTCCATGTACTGATTTTTCTTTGTTTCTTTTCTCTTTTCGGTTTTGCATATTTGGAATCTTATATGGATGGTAGTCGTAGATGACATTATTCAATTACATTGTGAACTTAATCATATCACTACATCTCAATTATGGCATCCTCCTTTCACGCCATACCTCACCTCTCCTTGTAATTAATCAATCTTGTCTTTTTTTCACTAATTTCCCATTGTTTGAATTAGGCACTGATTTATTGTGTGCATAAGGAGAGGAAAAAAAGTCATAATTCCAAAATTACCCTTCGAAACAACCCAATAATATCCAAATATGATGAAATCCAAGTTCAGAATATTAATGTGATGTGATTTCTTCTTTTTCTTCCTTTTCACTTTCCCTTTACTTAGTTTTTACTTTTTATGGCATTGACCAGTGGATTTTGATACCTTGAAGGGCTTGCTTTACTAGTTTGTTCTCTTGAGTGTGTGCGTGTATATATAAATACATACATATCTACCTCTAGAATCCACAGATCTCAGAAGAGAGGGAAAGGTAGAGAGAGAGGAGAGAAAGATTTAGAGTGAGATATTGAAATGATGAATTTTTCAATTGGAGGTGCTGGGAATTGGGGTGATAGTGGCCCTAACAATCCTGGTGGCCATGGCAATAAGGGAAGAAAGATCTACCATCGTCACACTCCTTATCAAATAACACAACTCGAAGCGTAAGATTATTAATTAATTAATTCTTTCTTTCTCGTTTCATATCGTTTCAATTCTTTTGGGTGCTTTGAATCTGTTTTCATTTTGATTGCTCTCCACAAATAATTTTGACTTGTGGTTTTGAAAGATTTCAAAGGGATCGATTATCACCTTGTATTGGATCTACCACAAATTAAAGCAGAAATGAAGACTTTGAGAACAATAGTTCAAGCCAAAACCTCTACTTGGCTTTTAGTTCCAACCTCATTTCACTTCCCTTTTCTCTTTGCTCAAGTCCATGTCATGAAATGGGGTTTTGCTTTTCTTCTTCTTCTTCTTCTTCTTTAAATCTCTCTTCTTTATTAAAATGATTGTTATGATTTTAACGAAAACACGTGTTGGTTATGAAGGAAGGGTTTTATGGCTGCTTAAATACAAATTCCCAAATCCGAGTCTATGTAGATGCCAAAAACATACTTTGGAGAGATGTTCACTAGTTTTGAGGCTCGATTTGGCTCGATCGAAATTAGATTAGTTGGAGTTCCATAAATAAATAAATAAAATGACTTGATTTTTAATTTTTTTAATTGTGAGATGATCGAAAGGCCACACGGAGATCTACCTATCCATTAAACCATATTTGCTTTCTCTTGTGTATGACCCTCTATTATCCCTTATAATGCTCCTTCCTAGTTTTTTTTTTTTTTTGGTTTATTTCGAGGATTAAGTCATTGATAAAATGGGAGGTATCATCGTATTTTCCAGGTAATGATGATATATATTTTTTGAATAATTTTCAAAGAAAAAACGACCATAAAATTATATTTATTTATTTTTTCATTTACAAAATCATAAAAAAAATAAAAAATTACAGTTTTTCATAATGACAATATATAATAATCTCTCTCTGTGCTTTCATTCTAGTATCCAAGATCTTTGCCCAGACTAATTCGATTGATAACTTGCGAACATATCTATAGGGATATAAACTAATGATTAAAAGAAATAAGAAAAAAATTAAGAATGTGAGATGTTCCAAGAAGCATTAGATGCCTCAAATTGGAAATAATTGGTTCCTTTTCTATCTAATATTCCTTTCAACCATTAAGATATGGTATATATAAATAATTTGACATTCTTTGTGACATTTTTTTTCCTTACACAAACCACTTGATATCCAAAAGTCACATTACACGATCCGACTAATCTGAATCGAACCAAAAAAGACTACACAAGGGCTATAGATGTCTCTCACTATAAAAGTGTTGAATGCAAAACTCCATGCCAAAAACTTGAAAAACCCAATACCACTAATTAAGCTTGGTTTATCATGGACATGCTTGATATTATGTTTGTATATATTCTTGTGTTGTATTTGATACTTATTCAATGGAACTAATGTTATGGTTAAAAATGAAGATTTTTCAAGGAGTGCCCACACCCAGATGAAAACCAACGACGCCAACTAGGCAGGGAGCTCGGGCTTGATCCTAAACAAATCAAGTTTTGGTTTCAGAATAAGCGGACTCAAACAAAGGTGCTCTCTTCTGGAATGCTTCATTCAAGAATAATTAAATTCTCTTAATTTAATCCTTGCAATAACAATGATGATTAGACTCAACATGAGCGACAAGATAACGCCATGCTTCGAGCCGAAAATGAGAGGATGCAATGTGAGAATATAGCATTCAGAGAGGCACTCAAGAACTTGATCTGTCCGTCCTGTGGGGGTCCACCCTGTGGGGAGCAACACCTTGACCGCCTGCACCAAGAGAATGCCCAACTCAAACAAGAGGTTTGTTTTATTCTTTAATTTAATAGGGTTTGAGGTCTCTAATGCACAAACTCTTTCTTTCTTTCTTTGGTTGTAATAATACCCTACCTTTTATAATTTTTTTTTCAAATTTTTCTTTGCTTCTAAGTAGAACGAGATATTTTGTTATTTCAAAGTCAACAAATGATATAATTATATGTTTTTTTCAAAGGTTTTGAAACTTAGATTGTTCACTAGTCAAGGCATTGATTTAAGAATTATTGATTAAAATTGTAGTAAAATCATGATCAAACCAGTCATAAACAAATTATTTTATTAAACCAGTCAAAGCATTGGTTTAATGGTTGACTTGGATTCCCAAACTATGATTTTTTATTATTTAACTTTAAAAGAAAAAAAATCAAAACAACCCAATTTAATTTTATGTATATTTTCAAAATTATAAAAATCATAAAGTTGCACTGTTTTATGATTGCAAGATCTCATCAACAAGTGTTAATTCTAGTGAAAAGGGCTATAGCCATTTAATATGAAGACTCAAGCAAGTTCTTGTGAATGCAAAAAATATCATTTTGAAAGCTACATTTAATTGGATTCTTAGTGCCAACAAAAGAAAAAAATATGATAATACTTAAAGTTGATTCAATCAGATAGCCATATTAAAAAAAAAAAATACTAAAAGGTCTCATTTTATCGAGCTAGAAGCTAATGATAAGGTGGAGGTATTATAGACTCCAAATTTAACCCAGGTTAATTATTGATATTCTCTTTTACAAACCTATAGTCTTATTCTTATACTTAAAGTCTTTTGATCTATGCGAGTCCTTTCACCATTCCTTTTAATTATTTTTCTAACAAAAGGCTAAACGATGAAATATTGTTTTTTTAGTATGAGAGAGTATCAAACATTCTTGCAAGGTGCATTGGCAGGCCAATATCAGAACTGGATTCTTCTGCTGATGATCCTTCCTCAGCCGGATCTCCGCCGTCATCGTCACCTGGAAATTCCCTGAACCAAGGAAGTACTGGAAGTCCTATAAGTCTTGATATGGACTTGGGTTCTGCCATCACAGTTTCAGATGAGAACATGTTGCCATCCTTAATGGGAGAAGTCACAGACGTGGAAAAGGATCTCATGTTAGTGGCTGCTAATAACGCCATTGATGAATTACTCAAGCTGGTGCGTATTGAGGAACCCTTATGGATCAAGACTGAGATTGGTGGTGGCCAATTCGTTCTTCACCGTGACAGCTATGAAAAGCTATCTCCTAGGGCTAATCACTTCAGATCTTCCAGTACTCGTGCAGAAGCAACCAAAGATTCACGAATGGTTTGGATGAATAGCATGCAATTGGTTGACATGTTCCTAGATCCGGTCAGTACTTTAAACACCTTCATTTATATATAATTGTTTAATTGGGGATAATATATATAACAATATATTTGGCTTAGTACTTTGACTACATTTTGCTTTTAATTCCTATGTACAGTTTTATTTCATTGTTCTTAGTCCTTTTAGTTTGATTTGCCTATAATGTTAATCCCTATAATTTTAAAAATGCACATAAAAATCATGAGTTAGTACTAATAAAGTCAATTTTTCTGATATGTAGTTAACTGTGCTAACATGTATTTAATCTCATCTTTGTCTTCCACATTCTGTTTAAGCCAAATATATATAAAAGAAACCTTTAATTTTTAATCATGCTCGATCAATTTTTCATCAACATATTTTTACCATATATTAGCAAATGGATTAACAAAGTTTCATCAAAATTATCTTTGTCAATATAGCTCATGGTCTTTATGTGTGCAGTTTTAGAACCATAGGAATTAACATTGTAAATTAATCAAACTAAAAGGACCGAAAATAACAAAATGCAATTAAAGTAGGAAAAATGATAATAAAATCCCTTTAAATTATGTAAATGTCATAATTTTTTTGAAATTTTTAAAAACTTTTTTTTCATTAATGAATTAATATAAATGGCCAAACTATCCTTAATTCAAATATCAATTGTCATTCACAAGTTTTGTTCTAACACTCACAACTTTTCTTTTTAAAATCATAAAAATTTAATAGCAATTTGTAAGTTTGAATTAAAAGTAATTTGGTCATTTACGTTAATTTCTTAATGACAAAAATGTCTTTAAAGACTTTAGGAGAATGATGGCATTTCAAGAGGTCAAGATGTCATTTATATAATTCAAAAGAATTTTATTAACATTTTCCGATCAAAGTATTGGGAGCTATTATTCTGTTTTCCCTGATTTTTAATCTTCGTAACAGCAAATATATCATTAACAGATTAAAATTTCTAGGTCAAGTGGGCCAATCTTTTCCCGACAATTGTTAGAAAAGCTGAAATACTTGAAGTGCTTGATGTTGGATCATCATCAGCAAACCGATCTGGAGCTTTGCAGCTGGTATGTGTGTGTGTGTGTGTGTGGGTTAAGTTTCTTGCTATATAGCTATTGGATTATTTCAGTCTAATGACAGGTTCGAAACTCCTGTTTTGTTTTGTTTTTTGTTTTTTGTTTTTGTTTTCTTTTTGGTTTTTGGCTGCAGATGTATGAAGAGATGCACACTCTTTCACCGTTGGTTCCTCCTCGTGAGTTCTGCTTCATTCGTCACTGTCGACAAGTTGATGTAGGTGTGTGGGCAATAGCTGACGTGTCATTCGATTCCTTAAGAGACAACATTCCTATCTCTCGTACTTGGAAGTTCCCTTCTGGTTGCGTGATTCAAGAGATACCCAATGGGTTCTCCCAGGTTAGTCGTACGAAGTAATTATAATCAAACACATGCGTTACTGTATATGATAACGCACAGTAATATTATTCATGATCGATACATGGCCGCCTTCTGATAGGTTACATGGATTGAGCATGTGGAAGTGGATGATAAAACCCATACACACAGGCTGTACAGAGAGCTTGTTTCAGGCAATTATCTTGCTTATGGAGCAGAAAGATGGGTGGTAACACTTCAAAGAATGTGTGAGCGACTTGTATTTGCCTTGGATGAATACACACCAGTCGAGGAAGCTCGAGAAGGTCACCAGTCATTATCATCTTCTTCAGTTCTTTCTTCATTTCGCCATGTATATATATGAACCCTAAAAGTCGTCTGATATTATGGTGCAGTGATCAGTTCCGGAGATGGGAGGAGGAGTATAATGGAGCTTGCGAATCGGATGGTGAGGGACTTCAGTGAAGTTCTGAACATGTCAGGGAAGGAGTTCCCTCATTTATGTGAGGCAAGAAACAGTGGGATTAGGGTTTCAGTTCGGAGGAACACAGAAGCGGGTCAGCCTGATGGCATGGTGGTCACTGCTTGTACCTCTCTCTGGCTTCCGGTTCTGCATCAGACTGTGTTTGACTTCTTCACAGATGCCAGAAGACGTTATCAGGTTCGTCTCACATCCTTAATTAATTAGCCCTCTCTTGCTAGCTCTTTGTAAAGCTGGTCTTACTCGTTACCCAGTTATTAACTCATATTCATACTCACTAATACATGTTAAAATGTCTAAATGTGGGTAGAATTGAGCTGGTGTGGCACCACATCAGATTTTTACAATAGAATTTCTTGCTTATTTGCCGGTTAGTGTTTTTTAGCTTTCCCCAGCAAATTTAACGTGTCATCCTTTATTATATTTTCTCACTTCTCTGTAATTTTTAATTGTTTGATCTTTTTTAATTCCTTTTATCTTTTACACGCTTCCCACATTATAAAATTAGCTTCTATCACTTGTCTGTAAATCTTTTGTTGTCCTTTATATTAAAGGTTCTCTTACATTAAATTTGATGTGTCATTTTTTTAAAAATTATTTTCTCTCATTTTTTTATAATTTTCAATTATTTAATATTTTAAAATTTGCTTATCTTTTGCATGCTTCCCAACACTAATTGCCATTTCTTCGTTTGGGATTTTTATAATAAAATTTCTCACTCATTGTCTATAAAATTTTTTGTAGTATATTATATTATTGGAGGTTTTTCGATATTAAATTTTATATGTCATTTTTTGTTATTATTTTTTATTTGTATAATCTTCAATTGTTTTATGTTTTAAATTCCGCTTATCTTCTACACGATTCCCAACAATGTATATATAATTAGATGGTATGTCTTGGTCAGTGGGACGTTCTGTCCAACGAAAATCCAGAGCATGATGAAATCGCACGCATCTCCAATGGAACTCATCCTGGAAACTGTATCAAAATCATCCGGGTATGTTATGTACCTATTACCTTTACCATCTCTTATCAAAATATGTGCTCTCATTAGTTATGAATACAATACAGATACAATTGATTTCAATCAAATTAATGTAATAAATTGTTGATGCATGGGTGTGGAGGAGCAGCCCATCATCCCCGATGAGAAGGAAATGTTGATTCTTCAAGAAACTTGCACTGATGCCTTGGGATCAATGCTCGTGTATGCTCCGATCGACATGCCACTGATCAACCTGTGTGTGAGGGGAACCAACACTTCGCTGGTGCCGATCCTTCCGTCAGGCTTCATGATCTCCGGCGACGGTGGTCGGGGTCATCATCCAGGCGCATTGTTGGCCGGAGAAGGTAGCAGCTGCTCAAGCTCAAATAATAATAATAATAATAATGAAGCCACCAGTTCATCATCATCGTCAGGAGGAAGTCTTCTGACGGTGGCTTTCCAGGTACTGGTTTGCAGCAACTCGGCGATGAGGCAATTGAGCGTTGAAACTGTGGCCACCATCAACTCACTCCTCAGCTCCACTGTAGAGAAGATTAAGGATGGCTTGAACTGTGCTGGTCTGGATTAATTAGTTGAGCCTCTGGCGATACACATATATATATATATGCTCAAAGGCTAGTTAGGATGAGTAATATGTTGAGTCTGAAGAAGGATGTATCACCTTGATGATGTCCCCCTCCCCTTTTTTTTCTTTTTTAGTAAGCTGAGGGATTTTGTGATCTCAATGTCAATAATGCTTTTCAATTTGAATAAGTTTAATTAATTTTCTCGATTTTAAATTTATTTCACATTAAAATTATACAGATTTCTTATCTATGCTCTTCAAATCCAGCATAAACTTTTTTTTTTAGTAAATTTGTTAACACTGTCTTGCTAAAATCTGCATAGGATTCTTTTGGAATTAAAACATCACATCTTTTTTGAATTTTGTTGAAAAATTGGGATGTGTGAGATGTATATTTATAATATAAACTATTCATTTATTTTTAAAAGATGAATCTCTTTTAAAAATAAAACAAAAGTATGTGATCAATATTCAGCCATTTAAGCAAGGTAAAGATTTCAAACCTTGTACATAAAAGAAAGAAAAACCTTATATGCTTAACATACTTGTTAATTTTTAATTAAATTAAGACAAATTTTTATAGATTTTTTATTCTATAATAAATTTTTTATTAATATTATTAACATATTAAATTTACTTGTTTTGATAGAATTAGATAAAAATATATTAAGTGTATAAAATTATATATAGATATATACATATCTATAAGTCTCAACTATGGTGCAGTCAGATGCACAAACCTTATCGGCTATGAAGAGCTAGGTTGTACATTTCTGTCCTAACCAACAAATTGCACAATGCATGCAATACAATCCCTCAGTACAAATCACTCGCATGTCTATCCTAAATCTCTTATTTCTAGATCTCAATAGAATTTCCACACATGCATTCATCACACTTGGTCAGACTATAAACATGAAAGCAAGAAAAACAGTTACTTGAAAGCGCGAGCGCATGCACATATATGTATAGCATAAAGAAAGAGAAGTGAAATACCGAATACTCATGAATGAGTTCAAGCTAATCCTAGAAAAAGAAAAATTAGCCACACGTAGCTAAAAGCACAACATACAAATGTTACTTGTACAACTCACCGAATTCAAATACAAGAGGGAAAAAAGGAGAAAAATGGTGTAGAAAGCCAAATATGGTTCCAAAATGCCTGTCACAACCCTTCACACAAATTCTACTAAGGAAGTCCTTTTGTTGCTATTTATAAAGAAATCCTCAAGTTTCTAGGGTTCCTTGTCCAAATCATGACTTCAACTCCAGAATTTTAACCACGATCTTCTTTTCTTCTTCTTTTTATTAGTTTGCACTACAAGTTTCTTCCTTATTTTCTAAGATACTCTTGCTCGACGTACCTTCTTCCAAATTTGATCCCTGCAAACCAAGTTTATAATTCACATAAGTGTAAATCTACCCAAATTCAGTTAAATTGAACATAAAAACCACGTATTTTTACATATTATTATCTTCAGACAGATATAAGCAATCTTCTTTATTTTCCTAAATTAATTCATTATAAAACCTATCAAAATACTATGACAAAATCCAAACAAAAACATGAATATTTGAGAATTGACGTATTTTCTAAGTCCATTTCTCAAATGGATTCATCCATTCAGCTGGCTCCTTTAGCTCTAATGCTTAATATAAACTCAGTGTTGGATATCTATTGTTCTACTTGGGTTCTATCACAATCTTAAAGAAGCAAACCTTAAATTATTTGTAGGGTAAGAATGAAGAGTATTTGATTCTTCGCTACTACTATACATTCTTAAATTATTCCTTGGGATTTGTCAAGCAAAGAGATGAACATATATACCTTATACTGAGCTCTGTCGTAAAGGTTGAGCTTCAGGTCGAACTTCATTGTTATACTAGTCAAATTGCTTGCTTTGTCACACATGATCTTGGAGTCCACGTAAGACTATGAAAATAACATCAAGGATGTTATAATTATAGTTAAATTCTTTACAGCAGTTTATTTTAACTAGAGTCATTACTCATTATAATCAAGTGGTCCTCTCATACAGCCCTTTTTTTTTTTTATTTTAAGTAGTGCATCCTCATAATAAAAATTAAGTTTTAACAGAACTTAACGGTAGCTTGAGCTTTGTCTAGTGTTCACACTTTAGGCCTTATGGGGTTTTATATGTGAAGGCTAGGGAGATTATGATAAAATTATTCATCAGCTTTCACTTAACAACATAATAAACTTTTTAGTTTTAAATTAAATGAGGTTTTACTTACCCGGAACCTGTATTTGTAGAATATGTAACCAGCAATGCCAGCTCCTAAAATAACTGTCATGAACACAGAGACAAGGAACTGGCCAGATATTGATCCACTTTTTTCTGCAAAGGTAATTCAAAATTCTGATGGATCAGTCTAGATATCAAGGCACTCTGTAAAATCAAGGACGCAGCAAGATGCTACGTGTATTTATGAGTAGAATGATGCAAGTTCATTTCACTAGACATTAAATAAATGATCACCGGTGAAAATAAATACTCATATTGCAGAAGTTTAGTTCAATTATAAGCTTATAAAAAGCAAAAAATGCTTATGGTGCATTTGGATATACAGGAATTTGGAGTTGGATTTGGATTTAAACTAAATCCTCCATGTGGCTGCATAAAAATCTTTAGATTTGGATCCAAAACCATATTTTATTACAACTTCTTTATAATTTTAAATTCCCTCTAAATTTTAGTTATTTGAAATTTCACCTACTTTAACCTTCTCATTTTTTTCACATTTTCACTATCGGTGCCTTTGTTAGTCTCACCACTCCTCTCATTTTTTATTCTCATTTCTCACCAATTGAAGAATAAAGGCAAGATTGTCACTTCCAATCTTAAAAATTTTTACACTATCTAAAAAAAAAAGATTTTAAATGTGAGATTTTAAATCTAAAATTTAAATTTAAATCCGTCAATCCAAATACTATCTTATAGTATAGTTTTATTTCTTTAAGTGTATCAAAGTGACAGTACAGAACCTTTAAAAAAAAGTGACGGCATAAACAGAGATAAGTCGGAACTGATCACTAACTAAATTAGTAATAAATGAAGTCAAAAATTATTTGGGAAAAGAAATGGGATACGCAGAGACCTTTTTATAATGATCATTTCTCAATTTCATGGGATGCTATTCAGACAATGCTCCCTTGTATACAAGAATTTTCTAAACTTTGACTTCATAATCTTACCAATACAAAGATTTTGCTCCCTTGTATACAGAAGGTTTCCCTTGCAACTGCATCCATAACTACCCCAGGTGTTCTCACAGGTGCAGCCATCACAGCGACAAACATTATGTTCCTTACATTCATCAACATCTGCATCAGATCAGAAGAAGCTTCAGACTCTCATGTGAGATGTCTTTGAAATTGATCATTGGAAGAAGATTAGAGATTGCCTTGAACTGACATAATGGAAACAAAAAAATTACCTTCACATTTAAATCCGTCCCCAGAAAAGCCAACTGGGCATTCACAGCCGATGTCTATGGATTCCTTCATACAGAAAGAGAAGCTAGTAAGCCTTGACGCTTAAGGCTTGTCAAAGAGAGTTGAAGAATTATCTTCCCATAAAAATAAAACACTGAAGGTTCAGATTAAGTAATACTGAACTGTGCAAGCTGAGAAAGTAATGCCATTTCTAGTTTCTGACCAACAACCTCCATTATTGTTGATTAAACACCTTGCAGGTCCAGAAGCTGTCAATGAAGGCAAAGTTTAACTATCTCAGAAACATCAAGAAATGAGCATAGGACTGTGAATAAGTTCAAAAATTGCCATCCCATTTCACTGTTGAATGTGAAAAGACATTGACTAACGGGACAATGTCAATTGGGGACCAATAAGAACATTAATGACAATCACAAACTCTGAATTGTTGAAATCCCAATAATAAACCGTGATCCTTACTTGCAATTAAAAAAATGCAAATAGTCAGTTGAAAAATCTACTAAATATATTTAAGATTATTTGTAACGTCAATTGAGAATTTACGTGAGTCAGTTGTGAATCTTGATTTTTACTATCAATATTCAATATACAAATAAATCACTTGAGAAATCCAGTAAATACACTTAAAATTATTTGTAACATTAGTAAAAAATTTACGAGAATTAATTGTAAATAGGAAACCAATCACTTATGGTGTTTTTGCTATTAATATATAGATACATCACTTGAAAAATCTACTAAATATACTTAAGATTATTTGTAACATTAGTTGACAATTTACAAGAGTTAGTTGTAAATTACAAGCCAATAACTTTTGATTTTTTGCTATGACATGGGAAATCAACATAAGATAGTTAATTATTGCAGCGTTAGTTTGGAATTTACTAAAGTTTGTTATGAGTCTCAAGTCAATCAACAAAAAATAATTTATTGCAAGTAAGAATCATTGTTTGTTATTGAGATTTCAATAATTCAGAGTCTGTAATTGTCATTAATATTCTTATGAGGTCCCTAATTGTCATTTTCCCTTGACTAATTGTTTGTCTGGCTTTTGGATAGAATTATGATATGCATAGGAATGCTTGTAAATAAGCCAAATTGTGGTGGTAAGTTTAAAAAAAGAATGCCCCCGTGCTATATCTTCAGTGGATAACTTGAAACCACACGCACAAAGGCATACCTTCACATGTAAAGCCATCGCCTTTATAAGGAATATCATCTACAGTGGGGCACTGACAAAGTCTTCCCTTGAAAGATCCTGTTAAAAAGTTCAGATATGGCTATCAGTTTGCTGCCAATCATATGCAATCGCTCATAGACCACAATTTATGTAAAGTAACATTGCATAAATGATACTAACTTTAGAAAGGAAAGAATTATGGTTGCTTATTTATATGTACCTTGCAAGCAGTTATGTTAGCATTTATGTCCTGCCAGCATCCTCCGTTCCATTCAAGGCATTCATTTATCTGGACATCTGGTAAATACAAATACAATATAATATAGCATAATGATAGTAAATTTTCAGAACTTGGAGAATCATTTGAATAGCACAGTTTAAACAATGAAACTTAGGTGCACAAACCGTCACTCAAACAGATTGAAGGCTCAGTAGTCTCCTCAAATCCAAAACATATAGCCTTTAGGACAGCAGTTCTCTCCCATTTTCCTTTACACATAACATACCAAGACCTTAATCAATAACATTAATCTCTTTGCAGAGTTTAAGAATGGTAGAAGCTAGTTAGTTTCAAGAGAGAACATTTGAGAATTCAAGTAGAATGATATTTGAATTAAAGGACATTTTTGCACCTTAGCTATTTCATGAGGAGCATTGGTTTTCTTAAATTATTCATTAGTGTAATGTCACCTCTCAAATATCAAAATCATTGCAATGTTGCCTTTGGACTAGCGGACATTGATATTGACCGTTAACTTTGTATTGAATTTAGGTTAAAAAGCATTTCCCCTCTAAAGTATTCATGGAGGAGTAACCATTAGTTGATCATTAGTATAGATTGACATACCTTTTTTTTTTTTTACTAATGAATATCTAGATGGCAAGCCACTTGAATACTTTAAGGAAAAAAATGTTGAACCCAAAGTCAATGTGGAATTAACAGTTAACATCAAAGTTTGCTAGTCCAAAGGCAATATTGTAACAATTTTGACTCTTGAGGGGAGATATTGTTCAAATTAATAGTTTAATAAAACCAGTGTTTCTCGTGAAATAGTTTAAGGACAAAAATAACCTAATATTTTAATGGGCATAATATAAACCTTGATACTGCACGTTGTTTACAAACAAAGTATGCAGGAAGGTAACATCATGACGAGATCCTTGCCCAACCTAAATATCACAAATGAGGAAAAAATAGTCAAATTGTTTAGGTTGCACCATAGCCTGAGCAAAAATTAGTCATGAGAGCCTTTGTTGATTGATAATAGTTCATTATCTTGTGAATTTTGCAAAGATACAGAACTAAACAAAAAATTTATGACCTGGAGATTTTGTTCTGTGTTTAGTATTTCATTCACCACATCAGCTTCAGGATCACCGGTACATTCTTTTATTTTCTCGATAGGCAGACCTGTAGTCAAAAGGATTAAACCTAATACAAACAGCAGAACCTAATGCACAAAAGTTCCACAAGTACTTGGAAATCTATTAAAGAAAAAATTTGAGTTCTATCAAATTTTCAAGCATGTTCTAGACACCACCTTAAGACTGACCTAATGATTTCACGACATCCTCAGCACAATCTTTACTGTATCTCTTCTCCTTCATAGAGCAACTGATATGGAAATCAGTCACATAATCCCACCAGACCCACGATCGGTTGCTCTCTTTGGCAACTCTATGGACACAGAGCTGCCTCAAATTCTCCAACACCACATCCTTTCCCTCATAGCCCTCTCCAAAATTCACCTCAGGATCTGGTGTACAATATCTCCCATTGTTTATGCATTGAGACTTACACTGATCGCTTTCAATAAAAGCCTTTGGACAAAACCCTGTTGTATAGTGTGGAGTGAATAAAGTATAACCACCCCTCTCAAGAATCTGAGCATCATCCTTAAAAGTCTTCACAAAATTCATCTGTTCATCACAGTGATATCCACATGCGTCGTTGATGTTTGTCCAAAACTCGCACTGAACTCTGCTATCAGGTTGAGGCAATGATTCTATCCATTTTATTTCGACTAAAACATATCCATCTTTGTTTTTTAAAGCTTCCTTCAACCGGTCAACAAGAGGTTTTTTTATTAGAGCTGATGGAATTTCAATCTTGTCCTTGTACTCATCCACTTCCTTGCTCTCCTTGGGAGGAAAATCCATAGTTAAGAGAAGCTCATCACTCTGCTCAATCACTAATACTGCTGACGCTCTTGCTAATTGAGCATGCCATACCTTCAAGTAAAAAGGACACTCTACAAGTGCAAATAATTTTGTCTCAGAGTGTGTCTTAAATATCTCAGGGTTCAGAAAATTACAGCACAAATAGAAGCTTGACAGTTTTGAAGGTACTTTTTAATCATTTGAGCAACTCTCTTCTGCTTTCACCAATTCTTCTGCTTTTTTTTTCTTTTACTTATAAATTGAAAAGAGGAGTCTTTTTATGAAAAGGAGAACTTAATCAGAGTTTGACAGAAAATCATATGAACTGCTAAGTGTTAACAAAAATTATTTCCAAACCAAGTGTGGGGGAATATAATGAGGACGAAAAGGAAAAGAAAAAGAAAATAGAAAGGCTTTCATTTAGAAACCTGGTCGACTAGCGAACCAGCAATTCAACCCAGTAACAATCAGTTACTCAGAGCTAAAGATGACACGTGACAAAGACTTCATCATGCTGATGATATAGACTGGAGCAAGATAGATTAAAAAAAAAAAAATAGAAACAAGAACGAGGAAAGTCAACGAAGGAGATGAGTTGAATATACCTCCACCATCAAGGAGAAGAATGCTGGGTCGATAATATCGCATAGGCTTGAAGGGATTATAGCCCTCAAAGGGTTGGCACCCTGAAGTGCCATTCTCAGGATAAGCCACATATTGAATAACGGCCATTCCATATTCGAAAATGCCGGAGTTCGCAAAAACAGCGGTCTCGTGCTTCGCTTTGAGCTCTTGAGGACCCAGAACGGTGATTTGGGCCTTCTCGATCACAAAACGAGCAGAAACAGAACTAATAAGAAACAATACCCAAAACGAAAAGCGAAGGATTGTGGAATTTCTGAGAAACGCAATGCGATTCTCCATTATGGGCGAAGAGAAGAGTGAGAAAGACTTGATGACAGTTAGAGGTGGAAAGTTAGCTTATAGAGAGAGAAAGTTCGGATTTCTGGTCTGATTTGGAGAGAGGAACTGAGCTTTTGAATGAGGCAGTGACGTGAGGAAGGGGTAAAACCGAGAACAAGTTTTTTGGAGGGAGAAAAACTGAAACACTGAAACCAAAAAAAAAAAATAAAGTGTAAAAAAAAAGATATATAATTAAAGTATACTAATATATCATATACTCTATTAGTAAAGTTTGAAAACACAAGCTTCTTTACACAAATTTAAAATGTTAATATGTTTCTTGTCAAGTCAAAGTATTATCTTCATATAACTCAAAATGTAAGGATGGAAGCAAAGATTATGAAATTCATGAATTTAAATAAATTCGTAGAAAGAATGTAAACTCAGATCATAAATATTAAATCTTGATTTTGACAATAACAAAATAAGATAAGCTTGTGTTTTACAAGATTAATAAATATATATCAATAGCTTGTAAGAAAATTCGTACTCTTTATCTTAAAATTCTGGCTTTTGGCCTTATTCTCATAGAAGTATGCTTATTTCAAAATGAGCATGCTTATTTTCAAATAGCCAAGCAACTTGATTCTTTTTTGATTCGTTCTCTTTTAAAATTAAATATTTGACTTTATTTTAATTCCTTAAAGACCTTTAATATTGAATAAAAGGAATCTTAAATAAATTTAGAATCAAAAATCAATTTCTAAGAGTATGTGTCACTATTTCAGCTTATGATCCTTATTTCAAAATTAGAGTCACTATTTCAAAATAGCTTCATGTTAGCTATTAAAAAATAGCTTATTTCAAAAGATGCTTCATTATTTTGAAATAATACATTTTTTACTCTGAGCTATTCACATGTATATCTCGTAATTTATATTCAAGGAAATAGCTTATTTCGAAATAGTCTTGCCTTATTTCAAAATATTGCGTCTTCCTATCTAAGCTATTCACGACACTTCTCTCTTAATTGCTTACTCAGAAATAACTTATTTAGGAATAGTCTACTCAATAATAGTTTATTTAAAAATAACTTCACTTATTCTCAAATAATAAACTTCATACCAACGCTTTGTAATTTTCTTCTCATATAAGTTCTCTTCTCCGAACTAACCTTTTAGCATCTTCATTCATATTGTTCTTCACTACTTCAAAATAGCATCATTTATTTCAAAATAAACATGCAGTTTGATGCTCTGTTTCATATAAGAAAAAATATGGGTTCTTTGAAAACTTCTTTAATTCCTTTTCTTTCATTATTTAAGTGTTGTGTTTAATATTTAATCATTCTAAACACAACCTTGAATTAGATTATGCCCTCTTCGATCCTTCCCAAATTTTCTTTATTCCCAACTAGTCTCATTATTTTGAAAGGGTCTCTCACATACCTTGTCAGAACATTTAATACAAAAAGATGTTACTTTTCTTACTTGCCGTGTGAAAAAAAACCCCGTCGTAAAGCACTGTTACATTATCTCATTTCGAAGAATGCTCAAACAACTCAAGATAAAGAAGACGATAAATCTAATGGCTATATTCTTAAGAGTAATGAATCATTTATGAAGCCAAGCTATAAATAGGAGCATTTATGAAGACGATGGAGAAGAATAAGAAAACGAATGCACATAAACGAACATGAGTTATACTTATTTTTTGTTTACCATCTTTCTAAGTTCACATTAATTAAGAGTGAGCTTCATTGATTACATATCATCACTTAAAGAGATTATTTGACAGTAATGATTTGTTCTTCAACTTAGTTTGTTCATAATTGTTTTTATGACTTGAAACATCTTAAACTCGGAGAGTTTAAAAGGAATATATCGTTACTTTTGTATGGAGGAATGATTTAGACTTTAGTATAAGTTTGGGATTGTACTACGATTACTAAGAGCCTGGATTAATTTTGATGGTGTTAGTGGAGAAAATCTCAAGTGATGTTTGATGATTGGATGTAGGCTCAAGTGATTAAAATTAAACCAAGATAAATATTTGTACAAGCTTCTCTTCCTTTCTCTCTATTAATTTTATTATTGTTAGCCAAATTTTTATAAAGTCCAATTCACCTTCCTCTTGGGCAAACTTTTAATAAACTCATAAAAATTTACCTCTATTAATAAATAACTATTAAAAATATATGACTAAATAATTAAAATATAAAATATTATCATAATTTAATTTGACTATATTTCAAATATAAATCATTGAAATTCAATAAATCTATATTGATAGATTATCATACTCGACATAAAGTAGGACCATAATTTGATTCAAATATATTTCAAATATAAATTTTTAAAATTAAATCCATCTATATTGATAGATTATCATACCTTACTTAGAAATTTTATAATTAGCCAACTTATTTTTTATATTTCTTATTTTTATTTTTTATTAATATTAGTTTTTGCTTTTTTTTAGTTTTATTTTTCTTTGAAAAAGGTTCTATCATTTCTATAAATTGAGTTCTACATAGAAATTCAGATAAAAAATGAAGAGTTTAATAAGTTTAACTGAGCTTTATCTAGTTTGAGTTTATGAATGAGTTAACATAATTTTATAAAATATAAATGTAAAAACAATGAACTTGGTAAAAGATGAAGAGTTTAGCGAGTTTAATTAAGATTATATCTAGTCTGAGTTTACGAACAAGTTGACATGCTTTTATAAGATAAAAATATAAAAATAGTAAACTCAAAGAGTTAACTCTTAAGTTTAACTGAATATATATATATATATATATATAATTTGAATTTATGAATGAGTAAATATAATTTTATAAGCTAGAAGCCTAAAAATAATAAACTCAAAAAATCAACTCAAAGTTTGACAACAATGGATGGGAGTATTTTTTTTTTAATTTACCTTTTTTTTTCTTGCATAATTATCTATTATCTTAAGTCTTAACATGATTTTTATTTCTAAAATGTTCAAATTTTATCAAATTCCTTTCTCTAATTCTATTAAAAATGTTATCTTTTACCTTGAAAATTTTATAAAAATGTAATTTTGATGAAAAATTTAAAATAATTAATAATCATAAATAAAATAGAAAAGTATCTCCCTAATCTTAGATTAATCTAGGACTTATTTTTATATCAATAATGATTAACAAAAAATAAAAATCAATAACCTAGTCTTATTTTCCCTAAACTATTGCGTATGGAATAAATAAAAAATACTTTAAATTAATATTAAATATAGAAGTCATGATAAGCGACACCATTGCCTCTATTTATAAGTATTCACGGGGTAACTTCCCATCCATACCATGAAGAAAGAAAAGGTCTAATTTAGAGTTAAAATCAGCTGTGTTTTTTGATAGAACAACGAACTACTATTATAAAATTAAAAAAAGGATTTAACGTGTCATGAAAATATTATTTGTCGTGCCTGCCCGGATCGTAATCCCCCTAAAAGGAAAATTAATAAATGTAGGAATTGCCACTAAAATTTTAAAATAATAATTTTAAAAACTTTTAAAAAAATTGAATGGTCTACAATAATCAGAATAAGGTTTGAAAGTCGGCTATGCGTGAGGAAGGTGTTACGCACCCACACCACCCATCCATGAGAATGATTATCCTAATTTATAATATAAACATTCCGTCTTACTCCTTAATAAATAAAACAATAAGAAGAAAACTAAAATTAAATCAAGAAAAAAATTATTTATTTATATGTTGGACTTAACTTAGAATAAAATCATAGAGCTTACATACCCTTTAGAGAGATCAAAGCTCACTTAGTTCAAGAATAAAAAAGTGTGTCACTTTGTCAGTGACTTTTAGAGAAAAAATAGTTTTTATTTATTCAAGAAGAACATTTTCATATTGAGTAGGTGTTTTTTTATTTTCTTAAAAAGTATTTTCCTTTATTCTTGGAAAACAAATTCGATTAATATTCCTATGAAGACTCTAAAAACCTCACACAGTCTATTAATTACATTTTTGCCTAAAGAACTTTTAAAAACCTCACATGGCGTAAAAATATTTTCATTTTGAAGAAGAAAACTTTTTATTTTTTATTTTAAGAAAAAATGAGTTCATCCTAGCCTACAAAAAAACCGGCGCATCTAAAGAGATATCATCTAACAAATTTAAATAGCAATCTTAGCATTGGAATAGCTCCACCTCTATCTTTTCTCATGCGTCTAGTAGGAAATCACACCGATAAAATTGAAGACAAAGTGTGAAAGCCACACACATGCATGTATGTACATTCATTTCACCATCTTTAATTAATCATATGATGTGAGCTTACTTTTTAATATGGGGAGATGTTTAAATACCATCAGTGGAAAGCATTGCCGCAAACAGGGAATAACTATGGCAATAGCTAATAACGAGGCTATTTGGAAAAGGAAATGGAGAAGATCAATTGGCGAGTCATATTAAGACACAAATTTAAAATTTTTTTATTTATTAATTTTCATTTTATTCTTTTTATTATTTTATTAAAAAAGGCTTCTCAATTATTTCTGTTTATTTATTTATTTTTTATGGAGACCCAAATAAAATGGGGTGTTCACATTGTTATTCTTTCACTTAAAAAATTATTATTGTGATTGTTGTTCTTCTGTGGTTTGAAATTTGTATTCTAATGATCATTGTTCGATGCCAGCTTTGGGTCTACTTGCATGTCGTCTTTTTTGCTTTATTTTATTGTTTCTTTATAATCCATCAATTTTTTCAAAGTGAAGTAAATTACACTTGATATACTTTTATTTTAATAATAACACTCAATTTTCTTTGAATTTTCTTTCTGAAATTAACGTTGCTTAATCATCTTGATTACCATACTGAGGATAAATAATATAATTTAATGAAGAAAGTTAATATTAAGTTTTCTCTTTTTCTTGTCATTTATGGGTATAAAAAATATTATATTATATTATATTATATTATGGAAAAATTTATATCTTAATTAACAATGGTAGAAAATAAAGGTAGATGAGAATTATACTGTTCATGTATTATAATCAGTATATCTTCATTTTCTTGAACTTCATGT